GAGGAGCAGCTGTAGACACCCAATATGATCCAAGCCTGGATTAATTGGGCCTGGTCCAAATAGGTAAGTCTTTTTTTTTTATTTTGTATTTTACATTTTTATTTTTATTATTATTAGTGTTTTTTATATTTTTTTTCTTTTATTTTTATCTTATGTATTTATTATTTATTTATTTATTACTACTATTTATTAATATATATCCTTATTATTTTTTTCTTCTTTTTCTGTTAATATTTATATGTATATTTATCAGATTATATGTTATAATTTATCTGTTATTTAATATTAATTTATCTGTTAATTTTTTGGATTTATCTTATTTATTTTTATTAATATTTTTATTTGATTTTTTTTATTTATTCGACTAAAGATTGGATTGAGATTCAATCAGAGTCCATGTTGGATTCAATTATTGAATCTCGATCCAAAGAGGAGTTGAGATTGATCAGAAACTCTTCTGATCAATCCCTATAAAAGGACCCTCGGATCAATAGAGAAAACAGAAAAAAAAAAGAGTACTGATTGAGAGAAAAAGGCAAACAGAAGAGATTCAAAAGCTGAAAAAGGGTTTAGAGGCGTTAGAATAGCTTTAGAAATTGTTGGGAAATTTTTGAAGATTTTTTTGTGAATTTTTTCTAAAAATTTCTGAAAAATTTTCAGAATCCGATTGAATTTTTTGGCAACAATTTCTGTCAAGATTGAAGTTTCCGGTTAGCTGCCCAGTTTTTAGTGAAGATTCTTAGAAATCGATCAACTTTTCGACGAACTTCCGGTGAAAAACCCAGATTCCGATGAATTTTTCAGAATTTGGTGAATATTCAACCGGAATTCTTCAGAAAGTTTAGAGAGAATGAGGAGAAGAAGAAGGAAGAGAGAGAGGGAAGAGGCTCGGTCTGCTGAAGAACCGAAAGAATCAGCCTTACATACCCTTTCAAAACGACGTCGTTTCTGCGTTAAGTATCCCAGAGGATCGGCGCGTTTTGCGAAAATTCGATCGACCCGAGCGTCCACCCGCTTTTCAACCCGCGCGTAACTCGCCCCTCCGAGCTGTTAGCCGAGTCGAGCCGACGCCTCCTAACCGCTGATCCGAGCCGTTTTTCTTCCTCAAGCTAAGCCGAGCAGAGCCTTAAAGGGAGCCTTAAGCCGAGCTGCTCCAGGCTTTTTTTTATTATTTTTATTTATTTATTTATTTATTATTATATTAAAATTGTTTAATTTTTTTTATTTTTTTATTTATTTTCATTTTATTTATTTCATTTTCTTTAAATAAAACAAAAAAAAATATTTTTGAGGAAAAATTGAAGGTATCAATTTTTCTTAAGAATAAATTTTCAAAAAAAGATTTTTTTTGAGAAAAAGTTGAAAGTATCAATTTTCCTCAAAATTAAGAATTTCAAAAAAAATATATTTTTAGGAAAAAGTTGAAAGTATCAATTTTTCTTAAAAATAAATTTTCAAAAAAAAAGTTTTTTTTGAAGAAAAGTTGAAAGTATCAATTTTTCTTAAAAATAAATTTTCAAAAAAAAAATATTTTTGAGGAAAAGTTGAAAGTATCAATTTTCTTCGAAATTAAAGTTTTCAAAAAATATCTTTGGGAAAAAGTTGAAAGTATCAATTTTCCTTAAAGATAAATTTTCAAAGGGATTTTTGAGGAAAAGTTGAAAGTATCATTTTTTCTCGAAATTAAAGTTTCAAAAGAATATTTTTGGGGAAAAGTTGAAAGTATCAATTTTTCCTACACAAAAACAATCATTTTTTTCTTTTTATTTTTTAATGTTAAATAATTCGACGATGGAGCCTCTGCAAGTGAAACAGTAGTTTTCTTGCATACTCTTGAGGTGAGAGAATTTTCTCAATTTTCTGTCAAAAGTATTAGAGTCAATTGAGAATAATTTTTAATAGTTAATTACTTGATAAAATTTTAAGGCTTATTGGATAACACAAAATTAAGCTGGTACCATCTTTTGATGGGCGTTATGAGGGTGTTATAACCTTCCTCACACGTAACCGAACTCTCGAACCTTGTTCTGATTAGTAGACCTGAACTTATTCTTTTAGGGATCCTTTAAACTTAGGTGTTTCCTGAAAGGACAGATTCTTTAGGTGACCAATCGCACCTAGATAAAAAAGATTGGTGGCGACTCCTTCAAGTCAATATCTAGTGATAGATCTTCGAATCTAGACGTTATGATAGAAATAATGTAACTAGCAAGCTTTGTTTAGCGGTAATTGTTCTTTAGTTTCCGGAATAATTTGTCATCAACGACTTGACATCGCCAAATAGTTTCTTTACAGTTTTGTTTCACTTACCTTGCTTTCAATGCTCCTCTGTTTCTTAACATACCTCTGAGTTGATTATTATTGGCTTGTTTTTCTTCAGCATTTAAAAGCATATATTTGACAGTGGTCAACAAGTCATTAAGCCTTTCAAGATCACTTTTGGACACCCCAAGCTTGGAAATTTTCACGATAAGCCTCAGTGGCTATTCTCTCGAGGAAATTCTCTACAATATTAAATGCAAAGGATTCAGCCATGATTTGACGAGGGGATATGCCTTTTGGTGATGATGTTCTATGGAAGAAAACAACAAAGAAACAGGACTGTGGGAGAAGAGAATTTAAGCGAAATGATTTGTTGAGGCGGATTGATCACAAGGGAAGAAGCAGCTGCAAACAGGGAAAGAGAGTAGGAGAAAGATGCCAGGGAAATTAGATGTTGGCTTGATATACCGATCAGTTGGGTATGCCGAGCTTCAAGTGTAAAGGTCGAGGTGACGTTTGCTAAATACTAATAAAATAATTACTTGAAATTAAAATGATAATAGAATTTAATATAATTAATGAGTAAATTTAATTGGAACAGCATTATCAGTCATTAGTTTGGAGTCTGAACAACATATACATTAGTTGATACGTTTTAGAGTCAAAATGATATTTGAATCCTATTAATATAAGGACTATAAAGAAAATAATTAAACTTTATTTGAATCCTATTCCAAAGTGCAATTTGTTTTTTTTTTTGGGTTGAGGGTGTGGTTTTGATTTTTGTTGGTACGGCCGGCGAAAGGTCTAAGAAAGATTCAATAGAGGGAAAGTTTTTTTTTTTAAAAAAAAAACCTTATTTAATAGATATTTTATCTGATTAAATATTTAAAATTTTTAAATATTTATTTTAAAAGATTTTGAAATATTAGCTTTATTCATTAATGAAATATCAGTGTATAATTAACTAACCATATTATAATATTTTTATATTATTAATCATTTAGCTCCTAAAATTAAAAAATTAATTAATTAATTATCAGGTTGATTTATAATTTGAATTACACCTCTCCACTTGTGTGACATTAATGTTGATTAATGTTTCAAACCCTTTTTTTTTTCATGGAAGACCATGTCCAGAAGAGATTTGAATTAACTAAGAAAGAAAATATACAAGAGGCAGATGAAGCAATGACAAGGAAAGAAAAACAATGAATATATTACTTATTTGAAAAAAAAAAAAATCAAGGAACTAGTTAATCCCTGTGATCTCTGCCACTACCCCCAACAGCTTTGCAAGCGAATCCGTGTATATGATATGAAACCCTGCTGGTATGAATGATAAAAGGCTAATAGGTCAAATAAGTGATAGAACAAAATTTTAATAATTATTTAAATTTTTATTATTTTATTATAATCAATTAAACTCTTAACATCTATTTTGATCAATTGAATTTTTATTAAATGAAAATTGATTAGTCATCACTATCAATTTTTATTCAATCAAAAACTTAATTGGAGCGAAAATATACTTTTAAAATTTTAATTTGATGAAAATAAATTTTAAGTACTTAATTGATTCTTTGATGCTAATTAAATGATCAATCTTATTGTAATAATTGGAACTGTCACTATAACCTTGAATGTAATAAAAAGTTTAGAGCTTAATTGATTGTAATATTATTAAATTTTTGTTTATGAGTTTTTTTTATCCTTTTGCTATGATAAAAACTTGCATACAATAATTTCATTTTGCACTTCCTTTTTTTCTCTTGACACTCACTTTTTTAAAAATTTTTTAAAATAAAATTACTTAATTATCTTTTTTCAATTCTTTTCATTTTCAAGTTTTTGAATTTATAAATTTGAAAACTTTTAAAATTTTATGGATTTGCAAATTCCTGCAAATCTAAAAACTTTTAAAAACATATGGATTCGTATATCTAAAAACTCTTAAAGTTTTTTAATCTTAAATCATTGAAATGAAGAAAAAAAATATAAAAACCTATATAAATAATTTTCGTGTCAATAAGCTTATAATTATTTTAAACAAACTGTACATTTTCTTTGTAATGATGCGAAAAATTTTTAGAATTTGAGATTTTTTCAACTTAATTTTTTTCTTAAACTTTTTTTTAATTTATCACATATAAAAATTTAACAAGTTATATAGTTTATCGGATAAGCATATCTATTTAAAGAATTTTAAAATTGAAATGAAAATAAATAAATAAATAATTTCATTAAAAGATAATTTTGAAAAAAAAAAAAAGCATGGCCGTGGAGGGTAAAAACAAGGTTGCAAATAGAAGCACCATGCATGCTGATGATGGAGCTTAACTGTCTAAATATGGAGTTGAAAATGCTGATCCAGCACCAAGACCTGAAATTTTAACAGGCTAATGGCCAAAGCTTTGTTTTAGTTTATTTTATTTTATTTTTTGTATCTCGGGTTGCATATGCATTTAATTTTTTATAAAAACATGTTCCTGATAATCTTTTCGTTTAGTTGGAATCATTAGCTATTTGATTCCTTTAGTTAGACAGCAACAAATAATAATTTCAGCAATCACATTGGAATTTGGAACCTCTTGTGGCTTCTTCCTTTTTGATTCCTTTTGTGGGGACGTTATATAAGCATTTATCAGGATTAAATAATATCCACCAAATATCAGTTTTTCTTGAGAAATGTGAACCTCCCCTTTTCCAATAAACCGATATGCTTATGTATGCTCTTATATCACTACGAAAAGCACCCACGGCCAGAACCCTGGGGCCTGGAAAGTTTCTTCTATTATTAATTTACACAAGTTGAAGCTTCGCTATTTTCTTTGTACCCTTAGTTGCCATGGCTACTCAAATCGAGCGGCTTCACTTTGTATTGTTTCCTTTCATGGCTCAAGGCCATATGATCCCCATTATAGACTTTGCTAGATTGCTGGCACAACGAGGTCTGATCATCACCATAGTCACAACTCCTCATAATGCAGATCGATTCAAGACAATTCTTGGTCGTGCCATAGAATCAGGACTCTCTATCCGTTTAGTTCAACTTTTGTTTCCATGTGTAGAATCAGGATTACCAGAAGGATGTGAGAGCTTTGACATGCTGCCTTCACTTGGCCTAGCCATGAAATTTTTCCAAGCAGCCAACAAGCTACAAGAGCCAGTACAAAAATTGTTTGAGGGGCTAAGGCCAAGGCCAAACTGTATCATTTCTGACGTGTTGTTGACCTATACCCTCAACATTGCTACCCTGTTTCAGATTCCGAGGGTTGTGTTCTATCCAGTTTCTTGCTTCTGTCTTCTTTGTAACTATAATTTACACCTCTCGAAGATTCCTGAGCGCATAACCTCAGAGTCACATTACTTTTCTCTGCCCAACATGCCTGAAAAAGTTGAATTTACAAAACCCCAACTTCTAGGAGTTTCCAATGATGCAAACCTGCAAGAATTTTGTGAACAAACGGTAGAGACTGATCTAGCATCCTATGGCGCGGTCATTAATACTTTTGAAGAGCTAGAGCCAGTGAAGAATTTAGAGCAGAAAACAAGAACATCTCATTTCAGAGAAACTAATCTGTTACTGAAGTAAATTGGCTCATTTGATCATGAGATCATTTCATTAATTTATAGCTTGAAAAATACAAAAGTTGTTGCCTAACAGCATGGGTCACCATGCACAAACCCATCATTTTACCTAGACAAATCTGCTGTCAGGAAAGTTCCAGCAGAAATGCCATTACTAACTTGCTTCAACCACTAACACACTAACATGCTTCAGTACTAGCATGCTTCAACCACTAACACTCCTCCTTGGTATTTCTGTGGAAACACCAAGACTTTTCCTTAATTTTCAAACCTTGCCTTTGGTAAGGCTTTGGTTAGAATATCTGCAATCTGATCTTCTGACTTGCAATCACCAGTTTCACTTCATTCTCAGCTTCAACTTCTCTAATAAAGTGATACTTGATCTTAATATGCTTAGTTCTTCCATTGAAACACAGGGTTCTTGACCATTGCAACTGCGACTGATTATCACAAAAAATTTCTGTTGGATCATCTTGCTTTTGACTCAAATCCAACAGAATTTTCCTTAGCCCAAATTGCTTGATTAACAGCAGCTGCAGCAGCTAATACTCTGCTTCTGCTGTGATTGAGCCACTGTTCCTTGTTTTCTTTGAATTCCAGCCTGAACACATTTAATCCAATGAAAAACACATAGCCTGAAGTACTTTTTCATGTCTTCATGAGAGCCAGCCCAGTCACTGTCTGTGAATCCTACAATCTTGAACTATCATTCTTCTTGAACCAAATTCCAAGTTCATTGGTTCCTTTGACATATCTCAACACTCTTTTTGCAGCCTTAAAATGCAACTCACTAGGATTTTGCATGAACCTAGAGAGTAAATTTGCAGCATACATGATGTCTGCCTGGTGCTGTCAAATACATAGCAACCAACCAAGCTTCTATAAATAGAGCCATCAACTTTGTTAGCTCCATTCCTTAACAAGTTTCCTTGAGCCAAAGGAGGTTAACTGGTTTGCAATTTTCCATCCCAAACTTATTCAGGATTTCATTTGCATATTTTCTTTGACAAATGAAGATTCCTTGCTGATCTTGATGAATCTCCATTCCAAGAAAATAAGACATTTCTCCCATGTCTGTCATCTCAAAAATTTCCTGCATTTGGAGCTTAAAATCTTCCACAAGAGCTGATTTGCTACCTGTCACCAGAAGATCATCAACATACAAAGAAACAATCAACAGATCATTACTGTTAAAAACTTTAATGTACAATGTTGCTTCACTGAGGCTTTTCTTGAATCCTAACTTCAGTAAATGATCATCAATTCTGGAATTCCACACTCTGGGAGCTTGTTTTAATCCATACAAAGCCTTCTTGAGTAGATAGACTTTGCCTTCATGTCCCTTGGCAACAAAACCATCAGGTTGTTCAATGTAGATCTCCTCCTCAAGATAAACCATTCAAGAAGGCAGATTTGACATCAAGTTGGTATATTTTCCAACTTTGCTGAGTTGCTAAGGCTAATAGCAGCCTTATAGTGTCCAACCTTGCAACTGGAGCAAATGTCTCTGAAAAATCAACACCAAGCTGTTGGAGGTAGCCTTAGCTACCAATCTAGCTTTAAGTTTGTTGATGGAACCATCAGCATTCAACTTTGTTCTGAAAATCCATTTGACACCAATGATGTTTTTGTTACTTGGTCTGTCAACCAGCATCCATGTTTGATTTTTCTCAATCATTTGAATCTCCTCCTTCATGGCATTTCTCCACTCTGAAAATTTGACAGCTTCTTCAAAGCTTGCAGGTTCAAGAATGGCAACATTGATCTTTGATAAATATCTGTGAGTGGTCGATTCCTCTCACTGGTTCATGATCAATGATTTCATTTTCAAACATATAATCTTCTTGATCTTGGAAAGCTTATCATGTCTGCAGCAATTTGCTTGAACTGATTCTCCATTTGATTTTTCCCAATTCCAGGCAGCTTGCTCATTAAATCTCACATTCCTACTTACAATCATCTTGCCTGTAAGTGGATTGTAAGTCCTATAGCCTTTGGTGATGTTGCTATAGCCCAAAAAAATACATATTTCTGCTTTTTGATCAAGCTTGTCCCTTTTGATATCAGGAACGAACACATAACAGATGCTGCCAAAAATTCTGAGGTGGTGCACTGATGGTTTGCTTCCATTCCAGGCTTCAAAAGGAGTGTTTCCCTTCAAAGCTTTTGTGGGCAGCCTGTTGAGCAAGTAGACAGAGGTATTGACTGCCTCTGCCCAGAATTTCTTTGGAAGATTCTTCTCAAACAGCATGCATCTTGCCATCTCCATGATTGTTCTATTCTTCCTTTCACTGACTCCATTTTGTTGTGGAGTGTAAGTTGCTGTCAGTTGGTGTTCAATTCCTGCAACTTCACAAAACTCATTAAATCTGTCAGATGTGTATTCAGTACCATTGTCTGACCTTATGATCTTGATTTTGCAGCCACTTTGATTCTCAATCCAAGCCTTGAACTTCCAAAATACATTTGCAACTTCAGACTTTTGTTTCATGAAGTAAATCCAACACATTCTAGTAAAGTCATCTATAAAAGCAATGAAATATCTACTGCCATTCAAGGACAAGGTTCTCATAGGACCACAAACATCAGTATGAACAAGTTGTAATCTTTCAGTTGCCCTCCATGCTTTGTTAATTGCAAATGGCAACTTACTTTGTTTTCCTAGTTGACAGACTTCACACACTCCAGCACTGACTTCAACAGTAGGCATGTTTAATACAAGATCATTTTTATGCATGAAATTCAATGCATTGTAGTTGAAATGTCCCATCCTTTTATGCCATAAAGAAGATTCATCATGTGAAGTAGCATATGCAGAGGAGTTTGCTTCATGCCAATTCAAGGAAAAACATTTTCCTTTCATATTAACAGTAAAGAGTTCATGGCCAGTGGGATCATGAATTATGCATGCCTTGTCTTTGAAGACTAAAGAGTAGTTATTTTCTAGCAACTGTCCTACACTTAACAGGTTTTGATCTATTTTGGGCACAAATAACACATCTGAAATGAGTTTGGTACCTGTTGGTGTCTCAACTGCCACTACTCCTTTTCCTTTGACTTCTATGAAATCACCATTACCTATTCTGACTTTAGAGGTGCAGGTCTTGTCTAGTTCTTTGAATATGTTGATATCAGATGCCATATGGTGTGTGCAGCCACTGTCAATGAGCCATGCACTGGAGGAGGTTCTGGTTCCATAGCAAGTTGCAACAAAACTTGCTCTTCTAGCTGTTGTTGATTGTCAGCAACTCTGGCTTGTTGATCTGGCTGCTGCTGTTTTTTGTTTTTACATACCTTCTCCATGTGACCAAGCTGCTTACAGTACCTACATTGTATGTTAGGTCTGTACCAGCAATATTTCTCCAAGTGAGTAGTCTTTTTGCAGTGAGAGCATGGTGGAAATTTTCCTTTCTTTTCACTGTTTCTAGAACCTTGGTTTCTTTGATCTCCTTGTTTTCTGCCTTTGCTTTCTGTTTGCATCTTGCCTTTCTCCTTGGCTGTAAAAGCACCTTCTGTTGAATCCTCTTGTCTGATAGCCCTTCTTTGCTCTTGAGCTTGTAGAGCATTGAACAATTCTGCTGGAGTTATCTTGGTCAGGTCCTTAGAGTCTTCAAGGGATGAGATTTTTGACTCAAACCTCTCTGGTAAGCTGACAAGAACCTTCTCTACAATTCTTTTGTCTGACAGCTCCTCACCAAGTAATCTAATCTTGTTTACTATCTTCATGAGTCTGTCATTGTACTCCTTTAAATTTTCAGACTCCTTCATCTTTAAGACTTCAAACTCTCTTCTAAGATTCAACACTTGCATTTGTCTTGTCTTGTCACTGCCTTGAAACTCTTCCTTGAGCACATCCCAAGCTTGTTTTGCAGTTTCACAAGTCATGATTCTAATGAATATGTCATCAGAAACTGAAGACTCAATACAGCTTTTAGCCTTATACCTCTTTGCCTTTTCTTCACTATAATTTTTCATTTGAGTTACTGTTGGATTTGCAGGAAGTTGTGGTGGTTCCTTCTCATTTTCCACCACTTCCCACAAATCAAAAGCACTCAAATAAGTCTTCATTTTGACAGCCCATATCTGGTAGTTCTCACCAGAAAAAATAGGAGGTGGAGGTAAGGAGCAATTGCTTGAGGCCATTTAAGGTTGACAAAGGCTGGCTGGAAAGTGTTTGATGGCTTTTCACTCAATTTTTGGAACTCACAGATCCTCTAAGAACTTAAAGAATGCTCTGATACCAATTGAAGGATTTAGAGCAGAAAACAAGAACAAACAAAGACAGCAGAAACTAATCTGTTACTTGAAGTAAATTGGCTCATTTGATCATGAGCTTCATTTCATTAATTTATAGGCTTGAAAAATACAAAAGTTGTTGGCCTAACAGCATGGGTCACCATGCACAAACCCATCATTTTACCTAGACAAATCTGCTGTCAGAAAGTTCCAGCAGAAATGCCATACTAACTTGCTTCAACCACTAACACACTAACATGCTTCAGTACTAGCATGCTTCAACCACTAACAGCCAGAATATGTGAGGGAATACAGGAAGGCAAGAGGATACAAGGTGTGGTGCATTGGTCCAGTTTCTTTATGCAATAAGGATGGCTTGGATAAGGCTGAGAGAGGTAAGAAGGCCTCAGTTGATGAATACCAATGCCTGAGGTGGCTTGATTCTCAGGAGCCAGGCTCTGTGATTTATGCCTGTCTAGGAAGCCTCTCTAATGTGATACCCTCACAATCGATAGAGCTTGGCTTAGGCTTAGAGGCATCGAATAGACCTTTTATATGGGTTATGAGAGGAAGTGATGCATCATCAGAAGTAGAGAAGTGGATTTTAGAGGATGGTTTTGAGGAAAGAACAAAAGGAAGAGGCCTTGTGATCCGGGGTTGGGCTCCCCAAATAGTAATATTGTCACACCGTGCAATTGGAGGGTTCCTAACTCATTGTGGATGGAATTCAACAATAGAAGCCATCACTGCCGGCGTGCCATTTATAACTTGGCCGCTATTTGGAGACCAATTTTGCAATGAGAAATTGGTTGTACAATTACTTCAAATTGGAGTAAGGATTGGAGTAGAGGAGCCAATGAGCTGGGGAGCAGAAGCGAAAGTTGGAGTGTTGGTGAAGAAGGAAGATGTTAAAAAGGCTGTAGAAAGGTTGATGGAAGTAGGAGAGGAAGGGGAAGAGAGACGAAAAAGAGCTAAAAAGCTTGGAGAAATGGCAGAGAAGGCCCTTGAAGTTGGAGGATCTTCTCACCTCAACATTACACAATTAATCCAAGATATCATGCAAATAACTTATGACAGGAAGGAAACTAGCACATGAGGTAAACAGGCAATCTACCTAGCACATGAGGTAAACAGGCAATCTATCTCAATTATAAATGGTTTTTATTAGATATAGCACAAGCACAATAGGACAAATTTTGTTCGAAGATTATCACTGAATACATATCACACAGTTTACTGCTCTTGTAATTACTTCAATTTGCATAAAAAAACGTAGCATAAGCAAATTGCATACTACAGGACCTGATAATCTCCACAATGAGCTCTGGGATTGCTTGCAGCCACACAAGTGAGTAACAATGGCACCTTCCATTTAAGCCATCAACCTTAGGCACCTACAATAGAAGGGAAAAAGTAAGTCTTTGAAGTTAAAAATTACTTTGACAAATGATCTAACATGAATCTTTAAGTTAGAAAGAAAAACTACACTTAAAGATCAGAGTTCTTTGCAAAGGACGTAATAACTTCACATGAATTTGGTACCAAATTATATAAGATATCACTATACGTGGTGATTGATCTGTATTTCTAGTTGGCCTTCTCTGACATAGCTGAGTTGGAAAAAGCTTATTTCTAATAAAGCAAAGCTTGGAAGCAACATCACTCATGTTCATTCGCTTGGATGGCAATTCATCTGAACAAGTGACTCCTATTTCCAATATTGAATTCAAAAATTGGTAAAGTATGTTATGATCTCTCTGGCTGCTTGCACTGCAAGTATGGTTGGAAGTTGTTTCTCCGGTAACTCTTTCCTGAAGAAGAATGGGATTGGTGATCTCAACTACTCGTTCTGGCAAAGCTGCCTTGACAAAATTGTGAAGGTTCAAACCCTCTTTAAACATGTTATCAGTGTGCCCCCTTCCAGTAAACATCTCCAGCGAGAGGATGCCATAGCTATACGCATCACCAACCGTTGACACTTCACTTCCCAAGCCATATTCTGCCAGTCACTCATCACAAATAGCAGTTGCAGAGGATTAACTACTTGGCAATTATTTTAATTTGTAGCTTTTGAGTTTGTATTGCTAAAAGGAGGAATTTAAAATAACTATGGAGATGGCGGGAAATCATAAGAAGTGTACCTCGTGGAGCATAGCCCATAGTTCCTCTTAATCTAAGGGTGCATGACTGGCTTGTAGAGTAATCTTGCATATCTGCTGAAATGAATTATGCCAATCCAAAGTCTCCTGCATGGCCAATTATTTCATCATCAAGTGGAATATTGCTTGGTTTGAGGTCACAAAGAACATTTGGTGTTTCACAATGATGATGGAGATAATCCAATGCACAGGCAACATCAATAGCCACATTCATTCTCTGATAAAAGTTTAATTTTTTTGTGACTCCTCCTCGTTAACATTGAAAGAAGGATGTAACCAATCCTCTAGACTCCCATTAACCATGAATTGATAAACCAGAGCCTTAAAATCATTGCCATGGTAATCAACACCTGAACATGCTGTTAACACCTTGACAAGATTTTGGTGTCTAATATTCCTCAAGGCCTCACATTCAGCCATGAAACTCCTAGAAGATCCAGGACTCAAAAGGTTAAGCACCTTGATGGCAATAACAATTCCATTCTCTTCAAGAACTCCTTTATATACAGAACCAAAGCTACCTACACCTACCAAATTCGCTGAGGAGAATCCATCAGTAGCCTTTAGAATGCTTTGGTAAGATAACTTTAAAAGTGAATTTTCTGTCCAGGTTGATGTAGGCTGGCTTCTTATCTTTTTATACCGAAAAACAAGGAGAACGAAGAATACCAGAGTTACTCCTAGTCCTAGAAGCCCAGAAATAATAGCAATTGTTAATTTGCTTGATCTGCTCTTAGCACTTTTCAAGTTACATCTGGGCAAGTGGAACTCAGGTGTGCCTCCACAAAGCTTATTGTTTCCCCGGAGCGATGTAGCACTAGCATTCTTAAGCACTCCATCTGTCGGTACCATGCCTTCGAAATCATTGTAAGAAAGATTCAAATATTGTAAGAATATAATGGCTGCAAAAAAACCAGGAATTTCACCGGAGAAATTGTCGTGGGAAATGTCTACAACTGCAAGACATCTCAATGAACTGAAGGATGAAGGAATAGACCCTTGGAAGTAATTGTCACTCATCAATTGTTTCTCAAGTTTTGCACAGCTGCTGAGACTGCTTGGAAGCACACCAGATAGTTGATTTTGAGAAATAGATAATTGACCTAGATTTTTCAAATTTCCTACTTCAATAGGAAGCACACCAGTTCAGTGGTTGGAAGATAAATCTAGGTAAATGGACAAGGATGAGAGTCCAGGTACTTCAGGGGGTATATTGCCACTAAGGTTATTATTTGAGATATCCAAATGCAACCAAATACTCGCACATCCCTAGACTTAAAGCAACGGTACCATGGAGATTGTTGTCATTTAAATGTATTAGGTTCAACATATTTAAATTTCCAAGAGAATTTGGAATAACCCCAGAGATAGAATTGATCCCTAGGTCCAATTGTTGTAGATTCTGAAGGTTTCCAATGGCAGAGGGAATGGAACCTGATAGTTGATTGCTCCATGCATATAGCACCTCCAAGTTGATTAGGTTCCCAAACCCCACCGGGATACTTCCAGATATGTTATTATTGTCCAAAAGCAAAATTGTGAGATTAGATGACAAGTTATCAATGCATTTAGGAAACACTCCAAAGTTGTTGACGCTTATCTCCAATACCGGCCGGCTAGAAGCATTCACGAAGGTGCAAACAGAGTTCATGTCATCTTTACCCCCACTTCCAAGAAGGTTGTCGGTGATGGTAAACCACTGTAATTTATGCAATTTATCAAAGGAAGGCAAGTTTCCTGTAAGTTTGTTGAATGAAAGTACTACATTTATGAGAATTGAGGCATTGGTTACTGAAAAAAGGGAATGGGCCATTGAGTTGGTTACGACTTACATAAAATGTTTGCAGAAATAACAACACACAAACAAGTCCACATCACAACTAGCTACAACACAACACAACCTAACAATCATGACAAGTGGCAAAGCCAGGAACACCCTGGACTCAAATTTAGGGAGTACATGAAAAGTAGTTTAGTCCAACCACCGAGAGAAAGTAAAATCCAATGCCCTGCAATTCAATATAAGGGTTTAGTACAAAGATGTCAAAAATGTAGTTCCTATTTTTTGAAAAGTCTTCTTTGAGAAAAAGAAAATATTGGAAAATCCCTTTTGAAAATGACACGAGTAATGTAAGCAAATATATATATAATAATATATATATATATATATTGTTATGGGCATAACCCACGAATAATTTTTTTCTTTAAAAATTTATTTCAATAAATAATTTTTTAATATAATAATAATAATAATAATTAATATTTTAATTTTAATTTTGACATAATATAAGTAAATTTTGATAACTTTTGATAAAATTTTGATTTTAATAACTTTCGATAAAATTTTGATAACTTTTGATATTTATTTGATAACTTATAATATAATTTTGATAACCATTAATAAAATTTTTGTAACTTAGTAATATAATTTTAGTAATTAATCTTCTAGTAACTTATGATATACTTTTAGTAATCATCAATAAAATTTGTCTCATCATATATTTAATAATGAAATCTCGTAAAAAGCGTGAATTCAATTCTAATATATAAGATAATTTTTTTATATAATAATATTATTGTTTTATTCAAATTTAAAATTTTTCCACTGAACTTTTTTATTGAATAAATTCATAGTAGGTTTATCTTAGTCTCTGAGGATGAAATTTTTAACTTCAATTTTTGACAACTTTAATTATAATAAAATTTATCAATGATTAATAATTAAGTTATTATTGATTTATTATTATGTTATCAGCGATTTACTACTAAATTATCAATGATATATTAATAAATTATTAATGACTTACTACTAAATTAGCATTGACTTACTACTAATTTGTGAATAATTTACTAAGTTATGAATAATTTGTTATTAAATTATTAATGATTTACTACTAAGTTACTAATAATTTCTATAAAGTTATAACTGATTTACTATTAATTTATCGATAATTTACTACAAAATTTTCTAATATTAACTAATTTATTATTAACTTATCACTAATTTACAACTAAATTATTAGTGATTTACTACTAAGTTATCAATAATTTACATCTAAATTATCAATGATTCACTATTATGTTATTATGCATTTATTATTATGTTATCATTAATTTACTACTTAATTTTTGATTATTTACTATAAAATCACTACAGATTTATTACTAAATTAACCATGATTCATTATCAAGTTATCACTAATTTATATTAAATTATCCATAATTTACTATTAAGTTTATGTTCATTAACTACTACTTAATTACAATAATTTAATTTTAAGTTTTCAATGATTAACTACTAAATTATCATTAGTTTACTATTAAATTTATCAATTAATTACTACCAAGATGAAATTGATTTGCTATTAAATTATATTAATTTACTATTAAGTTATCAATGATTTATTATTACATTATTAATTATTAACAACTAATTTATCACTTGTTTTTTATTAATCTATCATTGATTTACTAATGTGTTGTTTTACATTTACAACTATGAAACATGAAATTTAAAAAGTCCACTAATAATATATGAGATAATTTTTTTTTATATGATAACGTTATTCTTTTATTCAATTTTAGAATTTTTTTCACTAGTTTTTATTGAATAGGTTAATGGTAGATTTATCATAACCTTTAAAATGAAAGTTTTGACCTAGTAACCAAAGTTCAATCAATGCCACCTTCAAATATGAAATGAGTTATACTGATTACATTTCAATTTTTAATTATTAATTATTAAGTTATCAATTATCTACTAATATATTATCATTGATTTGTGTATATCTAAAAAGAAAATAATCACAATATATGCTGGATGATGTAATTTGTAAAATAAATACAAAAAAAAAAGTTCAAGTTTGAATAATTTGAAAATTATGAGTAAATCCTTTTAATTCATTTTTTTTTATTATGAGAGCTTTGATGACTTTTTCATCATCTTGAAATCTAGATTAAACCATTAGATCTTTACTCAAAGTGATTAAACTTACAAAAAAAAACTAAAGCTTTGATATCAGTTTTTAACTTTTTAGATGTAGATAGTAATCCAAAAAGAGAATGAATTAGATTTTTTCAAATTCTTCTCAAACAATGATTTTAAAATAATCAAATGTGAAATTAAAAAAATAAGCTTTTTAATTGAGATATAATTTAATCAATAACAATTAATGAACCTAAAATCAAATATAAATAATAATAAATGTAAAGAATGTAAGAATAAAAAAATCAAACACAATAATTTATAGAGATTCAATTATTTTTTACAAAGCACTAACGTTCTCTCTTTTAGTTATCCATACTAAAGCTTCAATCTATTAATTGAAGAAAAATTATAACTTTATATTTTTTTTAAAACTTATGATAAAAACCTAATGCTTCTTATTTTTTAAATTAAGTAACAATTTCTTAATCTCACAACTTCAAAAGGACATCTCCTCTCTTGGTTTACAACATCACTCCAATGAAATGTAAATTAGAACAATTCTAAAAAATGAAATGTTTGCCTAATTAATAGTGTTTAGGAACAACTTCACTAGTGTTATTTGTCAAAAGCATCCATAATACGTTTGCCACAATTTTCCACACAAAAAGTGCCTTCACTGGACCTCCGTTTGTTCCAAACGTAGCCTAAGGGTACGAAGAACATAGCGAAGCTTCAACTTGTGTAAATATCTCCGGTGCTTTTCCTAGTGATGTAAGAGCTTACATAAGCATATTGGTTCATTGGAAAGGTAAGGTTCACAATTCTCAAGAAAAACTGGTATTTGGTGGATAGTGTTTAATCATGATAAGTGCTTTTGAAGTACAGTCGTTGCCATAAAAATCATTGGACCAATAAAAATCATTGGACCAATTAAATTTTTTCTTGTTTATGTGCTTATATTTTTGTCAATATTATAGACTTTTTTTAAATTGACTGAAACGTTGCATCAAACATTACATCAATTATATAGACTTTTTTTACATCAAATTTATTAAAATATTTAAGTATCATAGCAGTAGTAATTAATGATAAGCTGATCTGCGGTTGAGTTTAATATCATCATGATAATCAAGTGACACCAATTTAACCGATTAAATTAAGTTAAAAAACAAAATAACAGAGAAAAACATTACTCTTTTTTCACTTTCTCTATAAAATTCACTTATCCTTTAAAAGGAAAAAAAAATCCAATTCTGATTTTTTTTATTACGTAACTTTCTCCAATCTTATAAACACAGTTTTTCTTTTTATTCAAAATTTTAACATTTCTTATTTCAATTCTGAAGTCATTCATTCACAAATTATTGGTTACTTTTTCTAACCATAGAAAAGTTTTTTTTTTTATGTACTGTTTCGTGACAGTTTGTGAATATCATTTTGTTTATTTTATATTTAACGTCTATATAGTATGACAATTATCATATCATAATTTTATAAATACATCAAATATAAAATATTTTTTATGTTAAACTCATATAATTTTTGTTAAAATTTTAAATTTATCATTTTCATATCTTATTTAATATCGTATTGTTGTATTTATTTAAAATTATCTATTTAATTTTAATAAAATTTGCTTGTTAATTAAATTAAAATTTATTTAATTAATTTAAATTAATTAAATATATTTTTTATAATGTGGCAAGTTGTCTTAGTGTGTAATTGCCTTGAGCTTAAAAAAAAAAGTCTTCTTTGTCATTATTTCTTCCAATTAATAATAGTATGGTCTTTATTTCTGACAATATTGGCCTGGTTTCACATTAAGTCTGTAGTTTCTTTTGATGCTGAAGAACTTAAATAAAACATCATGTTTGTTCATCTTGATAAAGCAAACAATCCCAAATACGAAACAACTTCAATTCAGTTTGTTTCTCTTTCTTTAAGGGGCTATCAACCATGCATTTGGAAGTGGCTTGGTCACTTAATTTTCCTCTTCATGTTGCTGTCATTCTCCTCTTGAGCTTCAGCAACCCAAATCCTCATTCCCTACTCGGTTCGACAGTCTTTCTAGGTAATGCAAATCAGTCAAATGACACGGATCGACAAGCATTGCTCCAGTTCAAGGCCAAGATAATTGGTGATCAGCTCGGGATTCTGCATTCATGGAACAATAGTGTCCATTACTGCCAGTGGCATGGCGTTACATGTGGCCCTGGACATCAAAGAGTGACCAAGTTGGAGTTGATATCACTAAAACTCATGGGATCAATTTCACCATTTATTGGAAATTTGAGCTTTCTAGAGGTGTTAAATCTTCGAAACAATGGCTTCAGTCAAGAACTCCCTCAAGAAATTGGTCGCTTGGGCAGGTTGCGAGAATTAGTATTGCATACAAACTCCATAGGTGGTGAAATCCCTTCCAATATATCTGGTTGTTCTAAGCTCACGCGACTTCACATACCGCACAACAAGCTAGTCGGAGAAATACCTGCTGCCCTTGGTCACTTGTTAAATTTGAAAGAATTAGGGTTAAGTAACAACAGTTTGACAGGGAGTATCCCTTCTTCCTTAGGGAACTTATCATCTTTAGAGATAATTTATCTACCTCTAAATAGATTGACAGGGGCTATTCCTGAATCTCTTGGGCAATTGACAAAGCTTACCCTCTTTGCAGCAGGAGCGAATGAACTTTCTGGTATTGTCCCTCCCTCAATTTTCAATCTCTCCAGGATCAAAACGCTTGATGTCGGCTCAAACCAGTTTCATGGTAGCCTTCCCTCGGATTTGGGAATCACCATGCCATATCTTGAAACATTTCGTGCAGGTCTCAACCGACTCAGTGGACCATTTCCTTTATCAGTATCCAATAACTCAAACCTCATAAATGTAGAACTTTCATTTAACAATCTTACAGGAAACTTGCCTTCCTTTGATAAATTGAATAAATTACAGTGGTTTACCATCACCGACAACCTTCTTGGAAGTGGGGGTAAAGATGACATGAACTCTCTCTGCACCTTCACGAATGCTACTAGCCTACTGGCATTGGAGATGAATGCCAACAACTTTGGAGGAGTGTTTCCTGAATGCGTTGGTAACTTGTCAACTAATCTCACATTTTTGCTTTTGGACAACAATAACATATCAGGAAGTATCCCAGTGGGGATTGGGAACCTAATCAGCTTGGAGATGCTATATGCATGGAGAAATCAACTATCAGGTCCCATTCCCTCTGTCATTGGAAACCTTCAGAAGCTACAACAATTGGACCTGGGGATCAATTCTATCTCTGGGGTTATTCCAAATTCTCTTGGAAATTTAAAGATGTTGAACGAACTGCGTTTAAATGACAACAATCTCCATGGTACCATTCCTTTAAGTCTAGGGAAGTGTGAATATTTGGTTGGATTGGATCTCTCAAATAATAACCTTAGCGGCAATATACCCCCTGAAGTAGCAGGACTCTCATCCTTGTCCATTTACCTAGATTTATCTTCCAACCACTTAACTGGTGTGCTCCCTATTGAAGTAGGAAATTTGAAAAATCTAGGTCAATTTTCTGTTTATCATAATCAACTATCTGGTGTCCTTCCAAGCAGTCTCAGCAGCTGTTTAAAACTCGAGAAACTATTGATGAGCGACAATTACTTCCAAGGGTCTTTTCCTTCGTCTTTCAGTTCATTGAGAGGTCTTGCAGTTGTAGACATTTCCCACAACAATTTCTCCGGTGAAATTCCTGGTTTTTTTGCAGCCTTTATATTCTTACAATATTTGAATCTTTCTTACAATGATTTCGAAGGCATGGTACCGACAGATGGAGTGTTTAAGAATGCTAATGCTACATCGCTCCAGGGAAACAATAAGCTTTGTGGAGGCACACCTGAGTTCCACTTGCCCAGATGTAACTTGAAAAGTGCTAAGAGCAGATCAAGCAAATTAACAATTGCTATTATTTCTGGGCTTCTAGGACTAGGAGTAACTCTGGTATTCTCTGTTCTCCTTGTTTTTCGGTATAAAAAGATAAGAAGCCAGCCTACATCAACCTGGACAGAAAATTCACTTTTAAAGTTATCTTACCAAAGCATTCTAAAGGCTACTGATGGATTCTCCTCAGCGAATTTGGTAGGTGCAGGTAGCTTTGGTTCAGTATATAAGGGAATTCTTGAAGAGAATGGAATTGTTATTGCCATCAAAGTGCTTAACCTTTTGAGTCCTGGATCTTCTAGGAGTTTCATGGCTGAATGTGAGGCCTTGAGGAGTATTAGACACCGAAATCTTGTCAAGGTATTAACAGCATGTTCAGGTGTTGATTACCATGGCAATGATTTTAAGGCTCTGGTTTATCAGTTCATGGTTAATGGAAGTCTAGAGGATTGGTTGCATCCTTCTTTCAATGTTAATGAGGTCAAGGAGTCACAAAAAAAATTGAACTTTTATCAGAGAATGAATGTGGCTATTGATGTTGCCTGTGCATTGGATTATCTCCACCATCATTGTGAAACACCAATTGTTCATTGTGACCTCAAACCAAGCAATATTCTACTTGATGATGAAATGATTGGCCATGTAGGTGACTTTGGATTGGCAAAATTCATTTCAGCAAATATGCAAGATTACTCTACAAGCCAGTCAATCACCCTTGGATTAAGAGGAACTATTGGCTATGCTCCACCAGGTACACTTCTTATCATTTCTTGCCATCTCTATAGTTATTTTTGTGGAAAAACTAAAAAATAAAATTTTGTGAAAAATTAAGAGTAAAACTAAATATATATTGAAAAACTGCTCGAAAAGAATTATACAAAAGTCTTAGATTTATATACAACTAATTAGTGGATAAACTAAAAAACTAAATATTCCTAAAAACTAATTCTATAATTAAGAAATTATCTATCTTAATTTTTTGTCCTTAATTCTAAGGATACAAATACTTAATTCCAAGGATACAAATATAAATATATAGATTACAATATTACAATCAACTATAAATAAGTGTTCCTACACTCCCCTGAAGCTAGTGAATAGGTGTTTTCCATTTTTAGCTTGGAAATAATTTTTTGAAATGTTACACTTCTGAGACATTTAGTCAACATATCTGTAAGTTGACCTTTGGTTGATACATATGGTGTAGAAATTAACCCATTGTCTAATTTTTTTTCTTTATGAAATGTCACTCTACTTTAATGTGTTTTGTTTTATCATGTTGCATAGGATTGTGTACAATACTTATTATAGACTTGTTATCACAATAGAGTCTCATTGGTCCATCCCATTTGATCTACAAGTCTTTTAGGATAATCTTTAACTATGGTAGTTTACAAATTCCTTGAGTCATTGCTCTAAACTCTATTTCAGCACTTGATCTTGCCACTACATTCTATTTTTTACTCTTCCAAGCCACAAAATTACTACTTAAAAAAGTGAAGTAGCCTAAGGTGGATCTTCTATCAGTTACTGAACCTGCAAAATCAATATTTGTATATACTTCTAGAACTAACTTTGAATTTTTTTTAATAAGATACATTTCCCAGGATTAGCCTTCAAATGATGCAATACAGGGTAGACAGCCTGTAGGTGCATTTTTTTATGATTATACATAAATTGACTTATCACCTTACAGTATAAGTTATATTAGGTCTAGTATGTGAGAGATAAATAAGTCTTCCAACTAATTTTTGGTACATCTCTCTATCTACAGCAACATTTTCATTAGCTTCTCCAATTTATGATTAAGATCTATAGGAATATTTGCATGTTTACATGTGAGCTTTCCAGTTTTCTTCAGAAGATCCATCATATATTTTTGTTATAGATGAAAATACCATACTATGAGTGAGCTACATCAACTCCTAAGAAGTATTTCAATCTTTTTAGCTCTTTTATCTTAAATTTTTTAGCCAAATACTGTTTTAAAAATTTTCTCTCTTTTTCATCATCTCTAGTTATAATTATATCATCAATATACGTTAATAGAACTGTGACTCTTCCTAAATCAGAGTGTTTGATAAACAATATATGATCTCCTTGACTCTGCTTATATTTCATTGCTAGCAACACTTTGGTAAATCTCTCGAACCATGCACTAGAAGATTGTTTAAGCTCATATAAAGCCTTTTTCAGCATGCATAATTATTTTGCTTCTAGATGACCTCCAAATCTTGGTGAAACTTTCATATATATTTTTTCTTCCAAATAACCATGTAGAAAAGCATTTTTTACATCAAATTATTGAAGCTACCAATTGTAATTTGTAGCCAATGATAACAAAATCTTAACTATATTCATTTTGATAACTAGAGCAAAGTTTTCCTAATAATTCATTCCACAATTTTGAGTATAGCCCTTAACCACTAACCTAACTTTATACCTTTCAATAGTACTTTTCACCTTGTATTTTACAGTGAAAATGCATTTACACCTAACTAGATGTTTTCCTTTAGGCAACTCTACCAGTTCTCATGTCTTATTTTTCTTTAAGGCCTTCATTTTTATTTTCATAGCTTGCCTCCATTTCTCACTAGATAATGCATCAGATAATATAGTTGGAATAGAAATAGTGTTTAGGCTCACAAGAAAATTTTTGTAGGATGGTGAGAATTTTTCAAATGACACAAAATTAATGATAGGTATAGTGGATGCTTAATACATTCTTTAATTCCTTTCCTAATAGCAATAAGTATATTATAATTGCTAGTTATAGTTTTAGGAGTTTCATGCTCATTTTAAGAAACAGAGTTAAAGACTTTAGTTACCTCATTTCTAGAGTTAGGATTAAGTTTTTATACTAGCATTGGTTCAAGATCTGAAACTTTTCTTTTTTAGTACACTTATAATTTTTTCATAGAATCAAGAACGATATTATCCTTTCTTACATCTTATGTGTTTGGAATGGGTTCAAACTCAAATTTAGTATTTGACTTGGACTAAGAAGAAATAAGTTTCAACTCAAAAGAATTAATAGGTGAAAACGTTGAAGAAGATGACTGATCAAGCAAAAATAAGTCTTTATCTTTATCTTCCATGAATGAAGTCTCCCCCTAAAGATAAGATTGAATAAAAAATAGTTTAATTTTTTTCAAAAATAACATCTACAAACACATTAGAATTTTTTAATATGAAGATGATAGCACTTATACCTTTTTTGAGTTGATGAATATCCCACAAAAATGCACTTAATTGCTTTAGGATCCAACTTTTCCCTACTGTGATTATGAACAAGAACAAATGATGTGCAACCAAATATTCTAACTTCCCCCTACTGTGACTGTGAACAAGAACAAATGATATACAACCAAATATTCTAAGTGTAAGGTTATTTGTTATTAAAGTTCAAATAGAACTGTGAGAGTAATTCCATAGGAGTTTTAAATCCTAAAACTCTTCAAAGTAACCTATTTATAATATGAGTGGCAGTGAAAACAGCTTCCCCCAATAAGATTTTGATACATTTACTTGAAAAAATAAAGCTCAGGTTGTGGCTAATAACTGACTATTTTTTCTCTCTACCACTCCATTCTACTGTGAAATATTAACACAAGATGACTTATGAATAATCTCCTCACTTTGGAAATAGGTAAATAAACTTTGGTAAAAATAATCTCTTGCATTATCAAACCTAAATCTCTTGATTTTTACTCCAAATTGATTCTAGATAATATTTTGGAAGCTTAAAAATATACTATTTACATCTGACTTAGATTTAAGTAAAAATATCCAAGAGAACCCGGTACAATCATCTATGAAAAAAATAAATCATCTTGCACCCGAAATATTAAAAATTGTAAAAAGACCCCATATATTACTATGAATCAAGTAAAAAAGAGTAGAACTTCTTGTATCGTTAACTGAAAAAACACATGTCTATGCTTTGCAAGTTCACAAATATCACAATGAAAATTTTTGGCATTTAATTCTTTGAACAAAGAAGGAAACATGTTTTTCAAAGTTCCAAAAGAAAAATGTCCAAGACTAAAATGATAAAACCAGATTTTATTTTTATCAAGAGATTTTTCAAAAAGAAATGATAAAGGTAAATTATTCTTGATATTACTTATGTTGTTTAATATCTCATGATAGTATAGTCCATCCTTCTCCTTAGTAAATTCAATCCTCTTCTCTGAATTCTGATCCTAAAATTTACAAGAAGAGGGATAAAAAAATTACTTTGTAGTTTATATCTCTGGTAAATTTATATATATATATATATATATCAGATTAGTAGACAATCTAGGAACATGAAAAATATTTTTAAAAAAAAAATGATTAATATGAACATCTCCTAGTTCTGTCATAGTAACAAATAAACCATCTACAACTACAATTATTTTATTACTAAGACATAGGGTATATGTACTAAATTTCTTTAAAGAATGTGTCATATAATCTGTGACTCTTGAGTCAATGATCCAAGAACTCATAATAAGCTAAATGGAAACATTTAATCCATGAGAATCAGAAGCTTTACTTAAACTAGAGACTTTACCCAAGAAATATACCTCGGTAGACTTTTCAAGGGCTTTTAATAGGCTTTTCAGCTTCTCAATCTCTTCTCTGTCCAACTTTTCTTATTTCCAAGAGATCTGTAGTACTTCAATAATTTTCGCAGTTGACACTTTCTCAAATTGGGTGGTAGTGATATTTTTCTTTAAACTGAAATAAGTCTTAAGATATAATCAGAAATGACTCTTAGCAATGAAGACTAAAGAAGAAAAAAATAAAATGGCTATAAAGACCTTAACAGGGTTCGGCAATGAAGACCTAAAATAGAAATCAGTAATGAAGACTGAAAATTTTGCTTCCCAAGAATAGCCTAAAGCTTTGAGACCATGTGAAAAAACTAAAAAATAAAACTGTGTAAAAAATTAAAAGCAAAACTGAATATATATTGAAAAACTATTCATAAAGAATTATATAAGCACCTTAGGTTTATGTACAACTTAACTAATGGGTAAATTAGGAAACTAAATTTTCCTAAAAACTAATCTTATAATTGAGGAATTATCTATCTTAATTTTTTGTTCTTAATTCTAAGGATACAAATATAAATATATAAATTATAATATTACAATCAACTGTAAATAAGTGTTTTCTCACAATTTTAAATTCTTCCATTTTGCTATACAAACTCAAAAGCTCCAAATTAAAAGAATTGCCAAATAGTTAATTCTCTACAACTGCTATTTGTGATGAGTGACTGGCAGAATATGGCTTGGGAAGTGAAGTGTCAACGGTTGGTGATGTGTATAGCTATGGCATCCTCTTGCTGGAGATGTTTACTGGAAAGAGGCCCACTGATGACATGTTTAAAGAGGGTTTGAACCTTCACAATTTTGTCAAGGCAGCTTTGCCAGAGCAAATAGTTGAGATCATCGATCCCATTCTTCTTCAGGAAAGAGTTGCAGGAGATACAACTTCCAACCATACTTGCAGTGCAAGCAGCCAGAGAGATCATAACATACTTGATCAATGTTTGAATTCAATATTTGAAATAGGAGTCACTTGCTCAGATGAATTTCCAACCAAGCGAATGAACATGAGTGATGTTTCTTCCAAGCTTTGCTTTATTAGAAACAAGCTTTTTCCAACTCAGTTACGTCAGAGAAGGCCAACTAGAAATACAGTTCAATCACCAGGTATGGTGATATCTTATACAATTTGATGTAAAGTTATTACATACTTTGCAAAGTACTCTGATCTTAATTGTAGTTTTTCTTTCTAACTTAAAGATTCATGTTAGATCATGTGTCAAATTAATTTTTTAACTTCAAAGACTTACTTTTCCCTTCTACTACAGGCGCTTAAGGTTGATGGCTTAAACGGAAGGTGCCATTGTTATTCACTTGTGTGGCTGCAAGCAATCGCAGAGCTCTTTGTGGAGATTATCAGGTCCTGTAGTATGCAGTTTGTTTATGCTACGTCTTTTATGTAAATTGAAGTAATTATAAGAGCAGTAAATTGTGGGATATGTATTCAGTGATAATCTTTGAACAAAATCTGTCTTATTGTGCTTGTGCTATAACTAATTACAACCATTTATAATTGAGATAGATTGCCTGTTTAACTCATGTGCTAGGTTGCTTCCTGTCATAAGTTCTTTGCATGATATCTTGGATTAATTGTGTAATGTCAAGGTGAGAAGATTCTCCAACTTCAAGGGCCTTCTATGCCATTTCTTCAAGCTTTTTAGCTATCTTTCGTCTCTCTTCCCCTTCCTCTGCTACTTCCATCAGCCTTCCACAGCCTTTTTAACATCTTCCTTCTTCACCAACACACCAACTTTCGCTTCTACTCCCCACCTCATTGGCTCCTCTATTCCAATGCTTAAGCCAATTTGAAGTAATTGTACAACCAATTTCTCATTACAAAATTGGTCTCCAAATAGCGGCCAAGTTATCAATGGCACATCAGCAGTGATGGTTTCTATTGTTGAATTCCATCCATAATGACCTAGGAACCCTCCAATTGCACGGTGTGACAATATTACTAATTGGGGAGCCCAACCCCGGATCACAAGGCCTCTTCCTTTTGTTCTTTCCTCAAAACCATCCTCCAAAATCCACTTCTCTACTTCTGATGATGTTTCACTTCCTCTCATAACCCAAATAAATGGTCTATTCGATGCCTCAAAGCCTAAGCCAATCTCTATTGATTGTGAGGGTATCACATCAGAGAGGCTTCCTAGACAGGCATAAATCACACAGCCTGGTTCTCGAGAATCAAGCCACGTCTGCCATTGGTATTCATCAACTGAGGCTTTGTTGCTTCTCTCAGCCTTCTCCAAGCCGTCCTTATTGCATAAAGAAACTGGACCAATGCACCACACTCTGTATCCTCTTGCCTTCCTGTATTCCCTGACATATTCTGGCTTTAGCTCTTCAAAGTGCTAGTGACCAAGCCATAAGATGCTAGATCCGTCTCTACCATTTGCTTACAAAATTCTTTCAGGTTTGCATCATTCGAAACTCCTGGAAGTTGGGGTTTTGTAAATTCAACTTTTTCAGGCATGTTGGGCAGAGAAAAGTAATGTGACTCTGAGGTTATGTGCTCAAGAATCTTTGAGAGGCGTAAATTATAGATACAAAGAAGCAAGAAGCAAGAAACTCCACGGAAAAAAACCCTCGGAATCTGAAACAGGTTAGCAATGTTGAGGGTATAGGTCAACAACACGTCAGAAATGATACAGGTTGGCCTTGGCCTTGGCCTTAGCCCCTCAAGCAATTTTTGTACTGGCTTTTGTAGCTTGTTGACTGCTTGGAAAAATTTCAAGGCTAAGCCAAGTGAAGGCAGCATGTCAAGACTCTCACATCCTTCTAGTAATCCTGATTCTACACATGGAAACAAAAGTTGAACTAAACGGGGAGAGAGTCCTGATTCTATGGCACGAACAAGAATTGTCCTGAATCGAGCTGCATTATGAGGAGTTGTGACTATGGTGATGATGAGACCTTGTTGTGCCAGCAATGTAGCAAAGTCTATCATGGGGATCATATGGCCTTGAGACATGAAAGGAAACAATACAAAGTGAAGCCGCTCAATTTGAATAGCCATGGCAACTAAGGGTACAAAGAAAATAGCGAAGCTTCAACTTGGAAATTAATATAGAAGAAACTCTCCAGGCCGCGGGGTTCTGGATATGGGTGCTTTTCCTAGTGATGTAAGAGCATACATAAGCACATAGGTTTATTAGAAAAGGTAAAGTTCACATTTCTGAAGAAAAACTGATATTCGGTGGATACTGTTTAATCCTGATAAATGTTTATATAGTGTCCCCAACAGTCAACAGCAATCAAATAACTAAAGGAAGAAGCCGTAAGCAAGGGGTTCCAAATCCAATCCGATTGTTAAAATTATTGTTTGTTGCTGGCTAACTAAAGCAATCAAAACAGCTAACTATTCTGACCAAACGAATATGTTTTTATTAAAAATAAAATGCATCCAGATATAATAAAGCTAAAAATAATTAGCGATTAGCTTTTTTATAATATTTTCTATTAATATTAAACATTTAAGATTTTTAATTATATTTTTTATTATATTTTTAAATATTTTTTAGTCTAAATTTTTTTAACATAAAAAATAATACTAAACTAATCTTAAGATATATATATATATATATATAAAGATCAATTATTTTATCCAATTAGTTCAACCAAAAATTATTACAATGAGATATTATTTCATACAATGATGACTTATAATATAACTTTTTATGAATTTTCCAAGTTGGTTATAGTTTAATTATTTCGTTTGTTGATTACCTTTTAATTATGAAAGTATAAGGCAAAACGTATTTAGTACAAGAATAAACGCATATTTTAAATAAGTAAAAAATAAAAAATTAATCTTCAAGTATCACAGCAGTTGTAATTAATGACAAACTGATCTGCTTGTAAAATTGAAAGTAGAAATCTATATTTCAACACCGATGGCTGAGCTTAATATCATGATAATTAAATGATACCAATTTACCTGATCAAATTAACAGTGAAAAACATTACTTTACTCTTTTTTCACTTTCTCTATAATATTCACTTATCCTTCAAAAGAAAGAAAATCCAATTGTTTGTAACTTTATCCGATCTTACAAACATAGTTTGTCTTTTTATTTAAAATTTTAACATTCTTTATTTCAATTGTGAAGTCATTCATTCGCAAATTATTTTTTTACTTTTCTAACCATATAGAAGTATTTTCTTTAGTGTCCTTAGGTTAATAGAATTCAAATGGTACTGTTTAAATTGGATTTGATAATTTGTACATATATTTTTATTTATTTTATGTTTAATATGTGTATAATACGATAATGTTATATTGTAATTTATAGATACAATAAATATAAATTTTTATTTTTAAACTCATAAACGATTTTTATTAAAATTATCATATTTAATTTCAATGAAATCTGCCCATTAATTAAATTAAAATTTATTCAATTAATTTAAGTTAATTAAATATATTTTTATAATGTGGCTCAGTGTTAATTAACTTGACCTTGACCTTGGCCTTGACACCCAACTGCAGGCTTTACAAAAGGATATCATCCACTCATCTGTTTCTTTGTTGTTTAATTCCATCTAGCGTTATCCCCAAAAGACATATCCCCTCCTCCTCAAAATCATGGCTCAATCCTTTGCATTTAATATCGTAGAGACTGTCCTCAAGAGACTAGCCACTGAGGCTTACCATGAAATTTTCCAAGCTTGGGGTGTCCAAAGTGATTTTGAAAGGCTTAATGACTTGTTAACCACTGTCAAAGATATGCTTTTCGATGCTGAAGAAAAACAAGCCGATAATAATCAACTCCGCAATTGGTTACAGAAGCTGAAGGATGCCTGTTACGATGCAGAAGATGTGTTAGATGAATTTGATATCGAAGCATCGCAGAGGCATGTTAAGAAACAGAGGAGCATTGGAAGCAAGGTAAGCAATTTCTTTTCAAGCTCAAACCCAATTGCTTTTCGATTTAGGATGGCCCATAAGATTAAAAAGGTTAATGAGAGGTTTGGTGAGATTGCTGCTTTTAAAAAAATTTTCATCTCACTGAAAGACATGATGGCACTAGCCATGTCGTGCGCTTGGACAGAGAGACCCACTCCTTTGTCCAAGCAGCAGATATCATTGGTAGAGATGAAGACAAACAAAAAATAATAAAAAATTTGATGCAAAGTCCAGCAGATGGGGAAGATATATCTGTCCTTCCTATAGTTGGAATTGGAGGTCTTGGAAAGACTGCCCTTGCAAAGTTGGTGTTCAATGATGAATGTGTCGATAGGCATTTTGAGTTGAAAATGTGGGTGTGTGTTTCAAATGATTTTGATTTGAAACGGTTAATGATAAAAATGATTAAAGCTGGAAAGGGGGTCAATGGAGATTGTAGTAACATGGATTTAGACCAATTACAGAGGGTCTTACGAGATTGTTTAGATGGGAAAAAATATTTACTCATTTTGGATGATGTATGGAACGAGGATTATGTGAAGTGGAACGAATTGAAACAGCTGTTAGTGGAAGGAGATAGGGAAAGCAAAATTGTAGTCACCACTCGCAGTAACCAAATTGCAGAGATCATGGGCACAATTCCGAGACACAATTTGCAAGGTCTTCCTGAAAAGGAATCTTTGTCTTTGTTTCTCCACTTTGCATTCAAGAAAAGGGAAGTGAATCAATGTCCAAACCTAGTGAAAATTGTGGAAGAGATAGCTAAAAAATGCAATGGAGTTCCTTTGGTTTTGAAGACACTTGGGAGTCTGCTTCTCTCCAAAACTTCAGAGCATGATTGGAAACTTGTGAGAGACAGTGAGATGTGGAAATTAGTGGAAAAGGAAAATAACATTTTTCCTGTTTTGAAATTGAGTTATGATGAATTGTCTCCACATCTTAAACAATGTTTTGCATTATTTTCAGTCTTTCCAAAGGATTATCAATTTTCTAATGTGGAGTTGATCCAATTTTGGATGGCTCAAGGTTTGCTTCAACCTTCCAAAGAAAATGATGATGAAGACCTAGAAGATATTGGTAGGCGTTACTTGAGTGATCTATCATCAAGATCTTTTTTCCAAGATTTTGATAAAATTATTTCTTTTAATTTTTTTAAAATGCATGATCTTCTCCATGATCTTGCAATAACAGTGGCAAAGAATGAGTGTTGCATAGTAAACTCTTCCAAACAAAATATTCCCAAAGGGGTTCGACATTTGTGCATTGACAACATGGATTTTCTTGAAGAAAACCCTTTTGGGTTCCTTGATAATGATAAGTTATACCAGCTACGCACATTTTGCTTCAGACATGTGAAAGAGGGTACTACCAGTGAATCCTTCATTAGAAAAAGTCTTTCAAGGTTCCAAAAATTGCGAGTGCTAGTTCTGTCTAGATCTAGTTTCGAGGTATTGCCGGAAAATATTGGTAGTTTGAAGCATTTAAGGTATCTTGACCTAAGAGGCTGTTCCAATGTCAAGAAACTTCTGAATTCCATATGTAAGTTGCAGAGTTTGGAAACTCTACTCACCCATTTCATGGGAATTGAAGTGTTGCCCAAAGATATGAGATACATGATCGGTCTCAGAATATTATCATTAAGTACAAAACAGAGGGTTCTATCTGATAATGGATTTGAGCACTTGAAATCTCTTCGGTTTTTGTCACTTGATTCCTGTGAAAATTTAGAATATTTGTTCGAAGGGTTTCAAAACCTCACATCCCTTAATACATTGAGGATTGTAAGTTGCAAAAATTTGATCACACTCCCGCATGGTTTGAAATCATCAACCGCATTAAAACATCTGATAATTAGGGATTGTGAAAAGCTTGATCTTAATATTACAGTGGGATTCAAAGGGAAAGAAAAAGAAAATGACAATAATCAAGCATACTTTGTTGGCAGTGGGTTACGCCTTCAAACGTTGGGCATTACAAGGTTACCAAAGTTGGAGGCACTACCCCAATGGCTTCTTGTGGGATCTGCCAACACCTTGCAATTCTTGGCACTTAAGGAATGTAAGAATCTCACAACTTTACCAGATCCGGGGTGGCAGAATCTTGCATCCCTTGAATGGATTTTCATTGCTGATTGCCCTAACTTGCCATCGCTGCCAGAGCGGATGCCGTGCCTCACACTTGAGAATTGAAAGATGTTTGATTATGAGCCAAAGGTGCAAACCAGAAATCGGTGACGATTGGGCCAAGATTGCTCATGTCTCTAACATAAGGATTGATGGCAATGAAATCTCATCATCAAACAAATGATCAGGCTGATGGTTTGCTAGGTAACAACTAATTATTTGTATCTTTGTTAAGCAGAAACAAATATTGGTTAATTTAAGATTGTTTAGAAATTTTCATAATTCCCAGTTATTATTGGATGGCAGGTCATTGGATTCGGCTTTCTCTCCATGGCTGTACTAAGTTATGTACTCCGTAAAGTTGAGTCTAGGGAGTTCCCATCTTGCCACGTGTCGTGGTTTTTTGGGTTGTGTTGTAATGTGGCTGGTTGTTGTGGTATGACCTTTTTCTATAACAGAGATAGTTGCGAATTGAAAAAGGGTCTCCATGTTAGGATTTTTTTTTTTTTTTGTTACTCAATTTCACTTTTTTTTTTTTAATTTCATTATTAAAACTTTGTTTTATGTGATTAACCTTTATCATTTTAATGATTTCATTACTCTTTCTAATATGCTGATTACATAATATCTTTTAATATTATTTATCTTTTTAAAAAAAAATTATGATTTTTTTTGTTATATTAAGAAGATAAAATCCTAATACAAATAAAATAAAAAAAATTTAATTCGAAATTAGACTTTTGGTGTTCTCTCATACGTCTTTAACCACTAAACTAAACGTTTAAGGATCACTATGATTTTCACTAAGAAACAATGTAAAGAGATCGTCCAAAACTTGAAAACATTAAGACAATAAATCATTCTCAAAAATAAATAATAGAATTAATAGTATTGCTTAATATTACTTATTGTTCGGAGATGATATGTCAATTTTTTTTAATAAAAGACAGAAACACCACATCAATATGTTTTTAATAATTTTGTATTTTTAATTTTTCTAACATGCACTAATATTTGCTTACCAAGCATATTTTATCCATTCAATTTTATGAAAATAAAACTTTTGAAAGCAAAAAGCAAAAAAAAAAAAAAAAAAGAAGGTTTTATATACGGAAGAGGGAAGATAACAAAATAGATTTTCGAATTTCAATAAAAATAAAAATATATATCATTAATTTTTTTTCATGAAACTAAAGTTATGAATTTTTATTTTACCTTTCACATTTCAAATAATCCAAATAAAAACATCCTGATTGGTTAATAGAGTTTATAAAAATGTTCATATAAAAATTCTGAAAATTACACTTAATTCATCCATTTTCAAATTTAATGGTATAAAAACGTTATATTTAAATAAAAATTCAAATCTTAATTTCATGATATAAAAATAAAAAATAAAACATCAATTTTATTTTTAAAATAGTAGCATTGAGATGAAATTAAAATTGGGTTTTTTTTTTTTTTTTGTTTCTAAGGGCCCGGTATCCATCCACAAAGACTGAGCCCAATAATCTTTGTCTTAAGTCGTCTTTCTATCCATTTTTGCTCTTTCCAATTTAAACTGTTTCCATCTTCCAATTCCATTGCCGAGAAAATCAGAACAGAAAGATATTTTTTTTAAAAAAAAATGTTATTTGGGTATTCTGAAAACCCTAATCAGATCATCAAATTTGGGATCTACGACTCGTAATGTCAGCCTTGTTAGCAGCCAAATCAGCAATCACACTGCCAAATGGATGCAGGTATTTAATCCCCTTTTTTTTTACCTTTTTTTTTAATTTTTTTTCAGCTGAAATTTGTGGAAGATTAGGCATTTTATGGGTTTTATTTGAAACTACTATAAACAAGTATAAATTAGAATAATTTTGATTGGTTTTTTTTCTTCTGGTCCTTGGCACTCTTGTGGAATTTGAATTCAGTTATCAGGTTATTAACTTACTAATATGTTTAATTTCTTTGATTTTTTACTTCTTTGGGGCTGCTAACAAGCTTAATTTCAGTTATCCGAAAAAAAAATTTTGGGTTATTTTACCTTTTTTTTAAAATTTACTAATGTGGAAATTATTGTCTTTAGAATATAGGGTTATTAATGGATTATCTTATTTTTTATCCTGCAATTGCTATATTTGGATCGTTTGTGGTGCTAAAGTTTTTATATCGGGTATGTTGAAGTCCTTTTAATCTTTTCCTTAATTGTCACTCAAAAAAACTCAATTTTCAAATGAGGACCTATGTTTGTTTGTCAAGTGTTTTACATCCTGTGTGGTATTCTGAATTATTGAAGACCGGCAGATTATAGTTATCAATCAATTGAAGCAAGATGAAGTGGCTTTTAAGCACTGATTATGTGTTCATAAACAAAGTAGAATGGTTTGCAGATGTTTTGTGGCCTTACATATGTGATATTTGTTTCCCAGTGATTTAGTACTTCGATTTGGAGAAGGTGTTCAACGTTTGAATCGCCTTGATCAGTTGAATTCCGGGACCTCCTTGTTTCCTCTTTCCATCAGGTTCATGGTTGTCATTATCCCTTTGAAGATTTTGATGAGGCAGTGAAGCTCATGACTTCCTTTCAAAGTTTCTTTAACATTGTCTGGTCAATATAGATTTGGTTATAGACATAACATGAGTTTGAGTTTCATGTCTTTGATATTGTTCAAGTATTTTTAGTTTTGAATAGGTGCATCACATAGTTTGTTTGCATTTTGATTTAATTGCTATATCACTTTAATTGTGCTGCTTGTTTCGTTATCCTTGTGCATAAATACCTTGCTACATAGACATGAATTTGGTGTGAGAAATGGGTGTGTCCCAATATTTTTACCTCATATTTCTGGCAACCTTTTTCATTGATTCGTCATACCTATAAATATTCAAAGTGTCTGAAAAAATGGTGTATGTTAGGGTAAAGTCAAGTCCTTGTAACATAATACATGCCTGATCATGCATAACATGTTCATTAAATGATTGGCCTTTGCCTCTCAAAATACAGGAGGGCAATGAAATGAAGAAAATGAAAGTGTATGATTGTCAATATTCATTTTTTTTTTTCAAATTTGTGGGATACAAGCAAGAAATCTCCTATGGAGTTGATCAATGAAGTTCCTCCTATCAAGGTTGAGGGCAGGATTGTAGCTTGTGAAGGAGGTTAGTGTCTGATCCTTACTTTCCTTCACACTTTGTGAACAAGCTTATTAGTAGATGAATTTTGTACTGCAGCAATAAGTAACCTAAAATCATATTTCATAAAAAATGAGCAAATGGCTGTGTTACTGAAATCCAACTTTCAAATAAAAGTGAATCATCCATTTTGTTATCCACGAAAGTTAAATTTGTCAAAATTTTGTTTGCTAACAAGTAAAAACCAAAGAAAGCATGAATAAATAAGAGGATATAGGATACAAAGTTTGCATGAAAAGGTTTTTTCTGGTGCTCACGATTTTTCCTGGTCTCTGTTGTTTCTGGTTGCAGACAATAATCCTGCTTTGGAACTCCCAATTGAATTCATTTGCCTTGACTTGAAAGAGCCAGCTGTGTGCAAGTATTGTGGCCTGCCCTACGTTCAGGAGCATCATCACTAGAAGCGCTGTGACATTTTTACCTGGTTATTGGGGTAATTGTTATTATGCAGTACCCGTGGCACTTTTCTCTGTTTCAATCCTTCATAAAAAATTCGGTGTTCCGATATTTTTAGACATTTTTATTTTTGCAAAATAAGTATTCGAAGTGCTCATTTTTTAAAATATTTCCAAAGTAAACTTGAACCCCTATGGTCTAGTTTTCTATTTGCATAATTTTGTTGATATCTCTATCTCATGGTTCTCTGAATCTCAGTCAGGAAATGCTAAGACTCTCCCTAGCCTTATGGGGCAAATAATTATAACATTACTATGCCCTAAACTCAAAAATTTGGGCCTTTGAATCAGCTAAACTAACATTCACAGCAAAATTTTGCCACCTGATGTGAATTCAGCAGAAAGTAATATTGAAAAAAATCAAACGCGATCGCCATCTGGAGCTGCCAGTTTCCTTCTCTGTTGATGTTCTGCAACCTTATAATCTACCACTTCACGAAATAGGCTTGGGTCAAGCACACAATTCTCACTCCCATAAACAGCTGCTTGAACACTAGCCATCAGTTTGGCCAGTTCCCTTCCAGAAAATCCCTCAGTTTTGGCTGCGGCTTCTCTCAAGACATCATCAGTCAGTCCCTTGATCTCAATCTTCTGCTGCTGCTTTTTGAAAATATTTTGAAGCACACCAGATTTTCTCGAGCCAGCCTGAGCTACGTACTTGTCCAGATAGAGCTTTAGCAGTTTGAAGCGTTCATCTTCCCCTGGCAAAGGGAATTCCAATACTTCATCAATACGGTCAGCCACAGCTGAATCAAGATCACCAGGACGGTTTGTAGCAAGAGCAAGGACTATGTCCTTGGACTGGTCACCCGTGCGAAAAAGAAGAGCATTGAGTGCACTTCTTTGTGCTTCACTCATGTAGGTTTTGTTGCGTCTGCAAAAAGTTAGGCCAACAAAATCAATCAAAGCTAACCTACCAAATAATCAATAAAGTCAGTAATGTTTTCATCCTAGGAAGATTTTACTTCTTTTTTACAACAATTATTGACGAAATTACATATTTGTAATTGTCAGCATATACTATTTCTTCTTCTGGTAAATAATCACAATGGAAGACTTTCAGGATTGGGAAAAAAGAAATGGAACAAAGGTTTCATCAAGCAATTTTCCTTAACTAATTAGACAATGAAATTTTTTTTTATCATACAAAAGAAATCAGTAAGTTACATGCAAACTTAAGCTCCTGGAGAGATCATGATGAAAGGTGAAACTACAAATCAACAAGTTTGCGATACCTAATCAACAAAAGAAAAGATAAAAGACACTGCACGATAACACCTTCAATCAAATCAAAGGTATATATTGCCTAATGGAAATATCATTCACCACTTGGAACTAAATGGTATCACTCACTCGCACAAAAATGCATCTGCTTCATCAATGAATAGCAACAAGCCCCTCTTGGACTTCTTTGCCCAGTCAAATAACTGGTGTATCTTTGTAACTGCCTGTGGTCCAAGTGGAGCAACATCCCCACCCGTCATCAATGCATAATCTAATCCCTGAACATTAATATAAAATATCAGAGAATGAAAACAAATGAACAAAAAAGCGCCAGATTTCAAACATTTGTCATGAACTACTTTAATGTTGCATACAAACATATAAAACCAACAACCATCAAGTATTGTCCCAGAGATACAAAAACTTCTCCTATTTGATTTCCTTCCATAAATAACCATAGATAGATACTAATAAGTTCATAATCAACGGATTGACATGTTTTAGAACTAGCATAACTGTCCATACCATACACTTGAAATCGTACTCAAAGTTTAACATTCAAACTTAACTGAATCTAAAATATGGTCAAGGAACCAAAACATGCATCTTTTTAAACAAAAATTCACATTCCTTCATAACAAAGGCATTAACTTTACACAAAATAAAACATATATAAGTGCCAGCAATAATTTACGCAAAATAAAAAATATATAAGTGCCAGCAATAAATGGAACAATGAAGGTCTAAGAGCTCATACAGATTTACGAGCCAGTTCTCTTGCAGCCATTGTCTTTCCTGTTCCCGGAGGACCATAAAAAAGCATGTTCCTAAAAGGTGCTTGGTGGGCTTTTGTATTGGCAGTAGCACCAGCTAGCTGCTGAATTCTTTTTTGAAGAGAAGGGTGTAAAATCACATCACCAAACCCATTTCCATTTTTAGGTGATATTTTATCTCCACCACGTGATAGAGAGCTCATAGAACGTGAAATGATGCCAGACCAAGGATACTTCCCTCGGGAAGATTCCCTGATAAGTGATGGCTGTCCCAGTATTCTATCCACATAGCCCCAAATTACCCTTGCGCCTTCTCTGCATCAGAGGGGTGGCAAATGTTTAAGTAATTACCTCACAATTGTGGTAAATAAAAAAAAGTAACAATTAACAGAGGCAAATTCTTATAAAAGAATATAATAATGCACAGGGATGGAACATAACTTCATCAATAGTTTGAATAAAGGTCCTTGGTTTCAATAAGTCTTCCAGAAAATACAGAGAGAACAGAAAAAAACTCTTCAGGAAGCTTTACATTTAAAAATATTCCCAAAATTTTTCCTCCCAGTAGCTCGAAAATTTGGGCAAAAGAAATAGTTATCACAAAACCCATTCATTTAAATAAAGAACAGAAGAGTAATAAATAGTAATGACTCAAAATACAATGAATGATTCTTTGGTTCAAAATTTGTGAGGCTATACTAGAAAAATAATACAAAAAAATCAGGTTATGAATCGAATACACCCAAGCTTATGTTAGAAGGAATTTTCCAATTTATGCATGTGAAGATACATATGCACACTTGCATCAAAATGCAGTTGGAGTGTAATTAAAGCTGCCAGATGTTGAGTGATAAGTCCTTTATGTTCTTTTTCTCGGTTCAGAGAAACAATCTTTCACAAATTCCAAGGTGGCATTTCCCCTCATTTGTCCTTGCCAAAAGAAAATAAAATCTAGAAATTGAGTTTTCCTAAACTCCTGGAATTTTTTACGATTTCTTCAAAAATCCACAGCCTAACAGAGATCACAATAGAGAGTTCACAATATCTGAGAACTCGGTATCAGCAGCATGAGAATTTTTGTGAGACATTAAGGCTAAGAAAAAGCCAATCTCAAGGGTAAAGGAACAGAACAGTAAACATTGCCAGTTACTTTTGATACAAGTTACAACAATGTTATGTAAGAAAAAATCTTTTAGGGGTATTTAAGCAAAGCAAATATGAACCCCTTAAATCAGAAACAAGAAATATTCAAGAAAAACAATTAAACCTATATTGAAACAAGAAATTTGAGGTACTGAATTGATTTAATGAGCTTCTTGAAGACATCTCACCAACATCTCCACCATATACATGGCAAAAAGCCACATAAAATACAAACCTTCATGCAAAGTCCATCATTTACCTAGTAGTGTAAATGCCTGCTGCAAGAGCGGTCAACCCTCCAACGGCCACGACCAGCTTGTTTTGATCTGTCAAAATGGCTCGCAAACCACCTAGACAGACAGATGTTGTCCACATTAAGCCACACATTCTTAAGCAGTAAGTAATAAACAAACAGGACTTAAACAACATATCAATGTCTTCATTTAGCTGAAAATCCATTTCAAGGCCAGCTGAAAAAAACATTATTAAATGAATATAAATGAGCCCACTTACAACAATAAAACATAGAAGCAACAGGATTAATCAGTGTCGTGATTTTCTTCTACTAGGTTAGCTTATAGAGAAACTAGAGAAGGCAGATAAAATGGCATACGCTTCTCTTTCCCTCTGTGACAAATGTACAATCTTTTTAAAGTTAAGGCTACATTTGAAGAAAATATTAAAAATGAGAATATGACATCTTCAGAATCTAGCTGTTTAAAGTTTCCTACATGATTGGGAGCATATTATTGAATCGATACCTCCAATATGGTCAAAAGTAGTATTTATGGCAGCAACCCACTTCTCTCTTTCTGCATTTGCACGATCTACAAGTATGCGCCTATTAACGTCTTCAGCAAGCTTTGCTTCATGGGCTCTCCCTTCTGCTTCTGCCATAGCTCTAACTCTGATTGTTTCACGCTCGATCTCAGCTTTTTCCCTCTCTGTTTGTCGTCTCTGCGCTTGAATCTGTTCTTCTGTAGCTCGTCGAGCTTGCTCCTGTCTAATCGCTGATTCCTCTTGCAGTTTTACTAGTTCTTGATTCCTTGCTCTTTGGTATTCATTTTCTGCCTACAATAACATAAAATATTTACACTCTTTTCAATGTATGTTTATATATGGTAACGATTTTGTGAATTCAGAAGTATCAACAAATACATGCCTGCATCCTCTTCCTTGCCAATTCATCCTCATAACGAGCCATCTGTGACTTTGTTTGGGCTTGATGCTGAGTTAGCTTCTTCTGTTCATCATATATTACTCTTTGTCTCTCCTGCCAGCAACCAGGTAGGTATTCAAAAAGAATAACAATAAGAAAAATGGCATAACCAAATAGACAATTCCAGAAGCAGCACAACATTTGGAAGCAAGTTTAATAAAGAAAAGGGTAAAGCAAAAAAAAAATGTAGAACGTTGTGTTTCCAGAACCTAGTAACCCTTACTATTTGAATGAACAAAGCCCGTACCTCCCAAATGCCACTAAGTATAATAAATAAATTGCTATCTGTAAATAAAAAGGGAAAATTTGCTGACAATTTCAAAAGAATACATTCCTGCAGAGACTCATTCACCCAGAAAGAAAGGAGCTTCACATGAAAAAACTACAAAGTCATTTGAATAACCATAATTCGCCAAGGATATCGATGGTAAAGCTAGATTAGAAAATCAAGTGCTATCCTTCCAATATTGATTTAATCATACAACTAACAATGCAATGTAAAACCAAAAAACTGCAAACTTCGATGTAACGATCCACTCAAGAGAATATGCATTAATAGTGCAACCTAAAACTTCTAGTGCTAGACGCATATCATATGCAATAAGGGAAATGTGAATTAAAATAGAAAGAATTTTCTGATTGCAACTTAAAATGAGACTGTCATGCTTAAAAGAATCAAGAGGCCACAACATAACTAAGAATGTCACCACCAAAATAAATGTAATTGAGCAGATTAACCTTGATGTTATTTAAGGAACAACATTTGCAAGTTCAAAATTAATCTTTAAAACAGTACCTATTAACTGATTAACCCATTAAGGTACAAACATGAGGAGAAATTTCAGAAGGGATCTTACAGTTTCAGCTTGGGCTTGCATTGCCTTCAACTCAGCAGCCTTTTCAGCCAACTCTGCCTGCCTTGTCTCTTCTTGCTTCTTCATAAGCTCAAAAGCCTAGACCAGCAACAATTCATTAGCATCAAAATTTTACAACTTTAACAAAATGAGTAAACAAAATTACAGGAAATATATAAATTAAACAAGTCAATCCTCCTCATAAACTCGAAAAGAAAAAATCCAAACCAATTGAGTCAGCAACTAAAGTTAAAAAGAATATATCACTTGCATAAACTTTACATAAATCCCAAAATCCCTTGAAAACTCTTCTAAAACTTAAAACCAAAGAAACCCACCTTCCAAAAGGCCTAAAAAAACCCAAATCAAACGTATAAAACAACCAAAAATAATAATAATAATAATAACAAGAACATTTTGGAAACCAAAACTGAAACCTTTTTGGCATTACGGGAGCTGCTGATTTCCCTCAAGGCCTTGGCTCCTCTCTCCAAAGCCTCAGGATCAAACCCAGCCGAGGACGTCCTTGGATTATCATTCCTAACCCTAACATTCCCAGAAGCCTCCTTATCAGCCGCAGATGCCGGTGAAGTAGACGGCTGTAATTGCAAGTGTCCAGAAGAAGACTGAGGAGAACCTGAAGATGAAGGAGAAGGAGAAGAAAATAAAGGGAAATGGAAGGGTCCATCAGCAAAAGCAACGTTGTTATTGGTTTGGGATAAAAGTGAAGAAGAAGCAGAGGCTGCTGCTAAAGCTGAGATTAGCCCCATTGCATATGTTTTTGCCATTTTTCTTTTGAACCCAAAAAAAAAAAAAAAAAGGCAGATTGGGTTTAGGATTCTAAGCTGTCTTTTATCAGAATTTACTGGCTTGAAGGGCAAGAAATTTGAAATAAATAAATAAATAAATAAAAATTGGTGGAGAGAGAGAAGAGAAGGTTCAGGGTTTTAGTAGGGCTTGTGTTTTTAGAGTGGACTGGCGGCTTTTGGCGGCTGGCGTTTTAATTTTCCTTCTTTGAGTTGAACCGGATCCCGGTTGAACCGAGTATAGAATTCTCTCTGCGTTTCTTCGGGCAAATGACCTCTTTCTAATCCACACATCAAAAGTTAATAACTAATATCAACGGATAGTTTTTCAATTTTTCAAAAAAATTATATATTATTATGATTACTTTGGTGTAATTAGATTTTCTATAAAATTATACATTATTACAAGATTTTAAATGTTTTAATTTAAATATTTTGAAATATCAAGTATTATGAGACACAAACTAAAATATTTATTGTTAATAATATTCAAAATAATATTTTTATAGTTATAATATTAAAATATATTTTATATTAATGTTTTAAATTTTTTTAAATTAAAATAATAAAAATAATTTTTATTAATATAATTATAATTTAAGCTGAATCAAATTAAATTTAAATTTAAAAAAAAAAAACTCAAAACTCAATTCAAATCAGATTAAATTAATGAATCAACAAATAATTGTTGAGCTAAATAACCTTAATATAATTACATCAGTAAAAGCGAAATCAAATAATCAATCAATCACAAGAAACAACAATTTAGCGTGGTTCGGTCCAACCGACCTACATCAACGGATAAGAAATAAGATCCACTAGTTATAAAGAATTACAAACATATAAATCATATCAACTTCACTCAACAATCGATACTTATAAAACATTCTCAATCTCCTCTAGTCTTATGGAATATTTTCAATCCAAACAAATACATACCTGAATACGCATCATACCTATGTGGATCTTTTTAATCTCCTCTAGTACACTCTCATGCACTATACCTATGTGGACCCTCTTAGTCTCTTTTAGTTTACTCACAAACATAATATTCATATACACCCATAAGACGTAAATATCCAGTAATCTCATGAAGTGTCTATACCATAAAACCCTATGTCTCTACCTAAGTGGAGTAAAGCCAAACCCTCTATGAGCCTTTTCATTTCTTTTTTTATTTCATAAAAGTAAGCTTCTTTATTTCGCCTTCAAAGCTTTTGTTGTTCTTTCTATCGCCCTTTCAACAATAGAAAGATGACCCCGATAGAATGTGTTCTTTTTGCACGTTATCTTTTCGTGTTAAGCTAATCCATTTTTTTTTCTTGGGAGTTGTAAACTTGTTGCATATGGTGTGAAAGCATCTGTAATTGGATTACAGTTGATCTGGATTTTTATCTATCGGGTTGTCCTCAACGCCATAAATTCTCTTCGATGTACGACCTCCTACGTCTTTCTCCTGAAACCAGAAAGGCAGTAGTCAAAGCTCTCTCGCAAGCCCAGAAGACACTTACGTAAATCGGGTTGAAGCTAAAGTCTCTTACATCTTTTTTTTATACCTAATTTTATAAAAATTTCACATATTTATAACCATACAAACTTACCTATTAAGAATCTCTTTCCTCTTAGAATCTTATCTGCAAGTCAAACTTGCCTATTAAGAATCTATTTTCTCTTAGAATTCTTCTTCTGTAAGTTTTCTTATCCATCAAAGAATATCTAACCAATCTTAAACAAATCTCTTATGGGAATATCCAACCAATCTTAAACAAATCTGTTATGAGATTTGAGTCACTATTCCTAAAAATCTTTACTTTGACTCAAATTTCATCAAATCATTTATCTTCATGCTAGATATGCTTGGCTCTACTTATAATAGAAGTTTCACAATTATCTTCTCTTGTGTACCTTCACGTTTCATGCAAACTGATATTCAAAATACAAACTTGAACTTCTCTCTTAAGTCGAACTCCTCTGGACTTACCTCTTGTCATGGCTCGAACCTTTAGCTCTTCCCACATCTCAAACATTCAACTCTAATATCAGTTGTTGGAAATCATCACATACCTGATATCACTTGTTAGGCAAAAAAACCTTAATCCAATCAAACCAACGGAAACAAAATCAAACAATCAATCAATCACATAAGAAACAATAATTTAACATAGTTCAGTACAACAGACTTATGTTCATGGATGAGAAACAAGATCCACTAGTTGTAGTGAATCACAAACATACAAATCATATCAACTTCACTCAACAATCAATACTCGTAAGATCCTCTCAATCTCTTCTAGTCTTATGGAGTATTATCAATCCAAATAAACACATACTCATATGCATTCATGCACCATACTTATGTGGATTCTCTCAATCTCTTCTAATCCGCTCCCATATACTATGTAAATTTTTTCAGTCTCCTCTAGTCCACTCACAAACATAACATTCATATATACCTATAACACATAGTCTTATAGGATGTTATTCCATAAAATCCTACAACTATTTTCTCATACCGATTTTACAGAAACTTCACATATTTATAACTATACAAACTTATTTATTAAGAATCCATTTTCTATTAAAATTCTTATTCTGCAAATCAAACTTAGCTATTAAGAATCTATTTTCTCTTAAAATTTTTTTTGTAAGTTTTTTTGTCAATCAAACAATATCTAATCAATCTGAAATAAATATATGATGAGATTTGAGCCACTATTTCTAACAATAACTTGATTTATAAACAAATCTTTTTAAAACTTGTTTTTTTTTTAAGTGAAAGACTTTTTTACTTCATTTCTTTTAACTATTAAGTTATTTTTCACTCATTAGTTTTAAATCTTATAAACATAAAAAAAAATACAAAAATTATTTTCTTAAAATTATTTTTTACAAGGCAAACTGAGATTAATTATCGTATGTTAAATAAACCGATTTTTGAAGATCCTTTATACACCATTATTATTCAAAGCTTATATAATTAAGGAAGCAACTCAGAATGATTTTTCTTTCTCAATTTTTTGGTACACGAGAAGTTCCTACTTAAAATGTCTATCTAAATCTAATTCCACTCTTACAAGTTGAGCTAAATCTCTTCAAGCGACAATAATGGTTTTGATTTCCCTCTTATTTCATGAATACGATGAAACAAATTACATTACAAGCATGGACCAATTTCAGAAATCGAAGAAGGAAAAAAAAAAAAAAAAAAAAAGCTACTGATTTTGCTGCCAGTAACTCTTTTGACACATTTATCCCAACTATGAAAAATCAAATCACCATGGTTCCTCACAATTTGAAGCATTTTTCAAGGCAGGGCAGTGGGTGCAGCAGCAGCAGCCAGCTTGGCTCTGAGATCTTTTCTCAGTATCTTTCCTGAAGGAGACTTGGGAATTGCATGAACAAAGTGCACCTTATACAATTTCTTGTAAAAGACTACCTGTTTGGTAATCAAAAACAAAGGGATTATCCTTTACTTGATTATACTTGTGAGAGTTGAAAGAGGGAAAACTTTTTCTTTTTCTCTTTGTAAGTAATTAGTGAAGGAGTGGAAAAATTTTTTTTTTTCATACCTGTTTGGCAATGAATTCTTTGATAGCTTCTTCTGTAAGTTCCAAACCATTTGATCGGACCACAAATGCAACAGGAACTTCACCAGCAACTTCATCTTTTTGCCTGTAAAAGTTGCATATTGTATAAGTTAGAGGCTAATGAGAGAAACTGTCAGCTGTGAATGGAAATGGATTAAATTAAATAAGTTGACAGTACATACGGAACTACAGCTGCATCTGCAATTGATGGATGGCTTACAAGGAGCGACTCAAGCTCAGCTGGTGGCACCTAAACAACAGAAAAGTCAGTGAAAAATATGCAACTTATTAAGGTTGCAATTAAATTTAGCGATTCGTCTATTTGTATCATGTAAAACATTATTAATGTGTTATATTTTATATAAAAATTACTTATCACAATTCATGTTAATACGAAAAACATAAAATGCATTTTTTATTTTTATTAAATCCATAACTTTTGTTAAAATTTCAAGTAATATCACTTTTACGCCTTTTTTATTTTTATCATTTTTGTATAATGTTATCATCTCCAGTTTTAAATTATTGGATCTAATTATAGTTACCAAAAGCTCAATAATAAAGAAATTATTAAGGGAGAAAGTAACATACTTGGAAGCCTTTGAATTTGATGATTTCCTTTACTCTATCAACAATGAAAATCTCATCATCTTCATCCACATAACCTATGTCACCTGTATGAAGCCAGCCCTCCATATCTATGGTAGTTGCTGTGGCCGCAGTATCATTCAAATAACCTATAATTTGTGTATAAAAAGAAATGTAAAATGATCCCAGGATTTTCGGAGATCAATTTTGTATAGCTCAAACGGTACATGAACATATTACTCAAACCTCTCATGATTTGGGATCCACGAATGCAAATCTCCCCAGGTTGATTGTAGCCCAGAGAGCAGCCGGTTTCAGGGTCAATGACCTTAAGCTCAGCATTTCTAACCACTGTGCCACATGAACCAGACTTGGTTGGAAAAGGCTGCTTTGCAAATCCCAAGCACATGGATAGAACTGGTCCAGCCTCTGTCATTCCATACCCCTATATTTGTTAAAAAAAAAATAAAATTAGGTAATCCACTGTAAAATGATAACCTCACGAGTGATTCAAAGCTAAGCAATCAAGAAAAAAATATTTTATTGAATCTAGTAGTTTTATTATTCTACAATGATATCCTCAAATCTAATATTTTATTGAAAATTATTGGTAATTGATAGTAAAAGAGAAATATTAAAAGGTACAATTTAACCATCCGATTATATAAAAAAAAATAAATATGTATAAAATTATTATCAGTGTCTATAAAATAAATGTCCAAGATGCATTTTATTTCTATTGAAAGTCTAAGGTTGTACTTACTATTTTATTAATCTTTAGTCATATTCATGTAAGGCCCTCTATGATTGACCCGCGGGGCATTCGAAACTTACTTTTTGACAATAAAAAGAAAAAGTGTACATTAATATTATAAAAAAATTATAAATTGAATTTATAATTTTTTTTATAAAAAATTTATAATTTAAAAATAAAAAAATCTTAAATTTATTTTTTGTTATTTTTTAACCGTGATTATATGATTAAATTAAATTAAATTTTAAATTCAATTGAATTTATAATATTAAATATATAAAAATCAAAATGCTTATTTTCATATGTATGAAAATCAAAGAAGAAAAAAAAATTTGGAACCGATGGAGAATGGAGTAATAGTTGTTAATTTCGCAAAACGATCACTCTCTTTTTGCATGAACTTTAGTTTATATTTAAAAATTTTATATTATGTTAATTAATCATATAATAATATTTTATTGATGAATAAATATTAATTTTAAAATTAATATATAAAAACTAATATTTTAAAAATTTTATTCAAAATATTATCATTTGATTTAGTTATTAATAGAGAGTATATAAAATGAAGCAAATATAAACTTAAAAATCAATGCATTAAGAATAAAAAAAAAAAAACTGCTAACCTGACCCAAAACGGCTTGTGGAACCCTTCCCCTGAGAGCCTCTTCAAGCTCTTTTCCAAGCGGGGCAGCCCCTGAAAGCACCACCCTGATTGAGCTCAAGTCAAACTGAGCCACCATCGGATTCTTAGCCAACGCCAACACCAACGGCGGCACCACCGCAGCAACCGACACTTTATGCCTCTCTATCAGCTCCAACAAAGCCCCTATCTCAAACTTCTGCATTAACAGAACCGCAGCTCCAGCTCTTAAGGAACACAACAGCACGCTGTTGAGTGAGTAGATGTGAAACAAAGGCAAAACACATAAAACAACATCGTCATGTTTCAAGTAAAGATTTGGGTTCTCTCCATCTACTTGCTGAGCTACGCTTGTGATCAAGCTTTTGTGAGTTAGTATGACTCCTTTCGGTAACCCTGTTGTTCCTGAAGAGAATGGTAAAGCCACAGGGTCATCAGGGTCAATGGAAACTTGAGGGATCTCCTTCTCATTTGCCTCTGATAACACTGAGAAATGCAAACAGTTTTCTGGAGGGTCATCGATGGTGATCACCTTGAAATCTTCACCTATTTTGGGGAAGCTTTCGTTGGTGGTGTCTTTAAGCTTGTCAACGTATTGGGATTGCGTGACTATGAGTTTGGCTCTAGCAGCTTTGAATTGCTTGAAGATCTCAGTTGATGTGTAAAAAGGGTTGGCCGTAGTGGAAACTGCTCCTATCATTGAAGCTCCCATGAAAGAGAAGACAAATTCAGCACAGTTTTGGAGAAGAATCATGATGACATCACCCTTTTGAATGCCTAAATTGGATAAACCAGCTGCTGTCTTTTGTGCAATCAAGTAAGTTTCGGAGAAAGAATAGGTCTTGCCAGAGGATCCAGAGATCAAACATGGTTTATCAGGGAAATTCAAGAGGTTTTCAAAGCAATAAGTATGGAGAGGTAAATGGTTTGAGATTGGAATGTCAGGCAATTTCGACCTGAAAATATGATCACCAGAAGTGTCAGAGGAAGGCTTTGTTGCAGGAGGAGACAAAGAAGGAGAGAGCTCTGACTTTTGGGGTTCAACAGGATCAGCAACGGATATCATGGTAATTGGGTTTGATGGGTTTTTCTTGTTTTATTTGCCGGGATAATTTTGCTTTTGTTTGTGAAACTGAGAATGGATTAGAGCTAGGGGAAGGGGGAGGAAGGAAATGAGTAATAAATATAAGGGAAGAGAAGCTTGGTGGTAGGTAGAGCATAATGAAGAGAGAAGTGGGTGGGTTTGAGAGGGAGAGTAGAGCTGTAGCAAAGCATGCCTATCTCACGTTCAAATGGACACCAGCCACCCACGGCCTTCTTTCTACATCAAAACTTTCATTACCCCATCCTGCCTACCTACCTTCTTCTCCCCACCTTTTGGTCTTTTGGTCCCTTTCTTGCCTTACGTTCGTCATGCTACTCCCACATCTTTTCCTTTGATAGTTTGTTTTGATTATTTTCATAGGCTTAATCAGTACATGCAATTATCTTTATAAATTAATAATACCAAAAATATTAATTTCCGTTATGCAAGAGTTTGAGAAATTTTGAAGTTAGAGGCCATGGCTCCTCTAGTCCTCAGTCCTAATAAACATCCCCAGCCCCCTAAAATCTGTAACTCTAATCTAGTGAGCGTTTGAAGGTAAGTGCTGCAGATAAGCTTTAATTATGATTAATTGAATTTAAATATTAAATTTAATATAAATTATTTAATATAAATTTTTTATTAAATTTTTTTAATCATAATTATAATAATTTTTATTATTATTTTTAATTTTATTAAAATTAATTTTATCATTCATTTAAATGAACTCTTAAAAAATAAAAAGAGGGTTAGTTTCAATAAAGTTATATAAAATCATATGAAAAAAAAAAATACATATAATAATTTTTTTAAAGTAAATAAGACAATATCATCTAGTGATAATAATAATAGATATTCTCTATCTCCAAATTTGGGTCTAATGTTGACTTTGAAAGATGATACAATTTCGTTTTGACTGTTTGGTATTTTGAATAGCATTTATTAAATTATTTATAGAATTAAAAGATTTTTTTTAATCTTATATAAAAGAAATTAACATTAGAAAGTCAAAATTAAACCAACATCAATTTAAGATAGAAAAAGTATTAAATGACATATCACACCAATCTTATCAAAGTCTACATTGATACAAGACCTATTAATATTTGGTGAGACTATTTATGTTGTCTTTGATCATTATTGAAGATGAATAAATAAAACTCTAAATTCAAAGTTTATAAACATCAAAACTCAAAGGGATTAATATTAAACATCAAGATTAGAATGATAATTACATATATTTGGTCTTGTTGTAACAGCATCAATATTAAACATCAAAACTCAAAAGGATTCGAGTAGGACATGTAGAAACTAGAACAACGTAGTTTAGTAGCATTTAATTGTATTTTTTTAAAATCATTTAAGACTATTATTGTTAAAAATTAAATTCTTTCTCCATGAAAAGAAATTCAGCTTTCTTTTTTCTTATTAAAAGTTAATGTGTTGTACTAGGAATTTAATTAATTTTCATTGAATTTAATAATTTTTTTTATGTTCAAAATTAAAAATAATATAATGAACTCGAATATTTAATTTAATTATTATTGAATGAACATTTGAATCTTTTTTTTTAACTATTGGTTTCAATCATTCCACTCGAACATCTAATTCAATTATAATTATATGAATCCCATTGATCAAAAAACTAATGTGCAAAGTTCTCCTATTATTCATAAAAAGAAAAAAAAAAAAAAAACAGTTCATTCCATTGGTATATGGATTTTTTTGATAAAAAATTTTGAGATGAGAGGAAACTTTTTCATTCCAAAGTTGATTAGGGCAAATCGTAGGACTTAAAATAACTAATATTGAATTTATAGATTATTTATTTAAAAAAATTATTAATAATAAAACTTAAATCGAAGTCTTGCAAATAAAATATTTGAATTTTATAAACTCAATCAATAATCATTAACACTTGGCAGCATATGGATGTTTCAATTTACAAATTAAACATGGAATAAAATAGAAAAAAAATGATAATATAAACCTACAGCATTCATCTCTGTACAATTTATTTTTTATATTTGAGGTTATGAAGATTTTAACTTATGGCTTTCTAAAAAAATGCTTAAGAAAATTCAACCATTTTTAACAAATAAATCTGAGATAAGTAAATTACGGCTGCTCTCAATGTCAAAGGTTATCTCCAATATCAAATAACATCATGATAAATTATTTATAAATACCAATATCCAAAATTATTTACAGCTCCATCTTAATAATTAAGATTTGGTTTGATTGATATTTTTAGATATTAGTTGTTTTTTAATAGAAAGTGAAAAAATAAAAAATAAACTAAAATCCAAAGATAAATAATGAATTTAATAATTAGCTTAACATTCAATAAATTTGATATTCAAATCATAGTATTTTTTTTATATTAAATTATAAATTTTTTTATTTTAAAAAATTTTAAATTTATATTTAATACATTATTAATATATAAATCTTATACACTGTTAATACATCATAGCCACATAATTTATTCATAAATTTAAAAATTGAAAGTCCTTAAAAGATAAGCTAAATGGAAATTAAATTCAATAATTATTTATGTTCAATTAAATAAAATTTAATATTTCTCTAATTTTAAAATTTATGAATGAATGAAGTGTCGTATACATAGAATATAAACTAAAAAAATAATAATAATAAAAATAAGATACCGACAAGAAGAGTAAGTCAACTGCAGCCTCGTAACCTACGTTCCATCACCATCCTTAGGAACCAGGATCCAACTAAATATCAAACAATGGCTTGCTCGAACACTACCTAACCCCAACCATCAATAGCACATGAGCTTTATACATTAATTTTAGAGTTCCCTACATCATCAACTCACTCAAGTTCACCTTGACGTTTTTATCTATGTTTTGATATGATGATCAATTTAATTTAATTTTTTTTAGGATAAAAGATTAATTTTCCAATCTACTATAGGTGAATGTCGAATTTTGTTATTATACTTTGATTCCATTGAAATTTATCACTGAAATATAGGTGAGTGTTGGATTTTTTTCCAATTTCAATTTTGATGATGTTTTGACCAAAACTAATGAAAATAAAATTATTGAGGAATGACATAGGAGAAAATAGTTTGGTGGAAGAGCTAATTGATGAAGAATCAAAGCGGAATTTATTTTCAATCTCCAAATTTTTATGTTATATCAATCTTTATGAATATTTTAAATTTATTTTTATCCTTATTTTCATGAATATTTAATAAATATGAGTAATTTTTATTCTTATAATTTAAAAAAATAAAAATAAAAAAATATTTTTTAGATTTTTTATTTTTATTTTGTATATTTAAATAATTTTTTATAAATATATATTAATATTTTTTCAAAAAATATATTAATTTTAATTATTTAAAAAAATAATTTATATTATTTAATAAAAAATTTATTTATTAAAAATATATAAATATATATAAAAGATACGAGTTCAGGATGAATGTTATATATCTTCATTTTAATATTTAATAAAAATTTAAAATAATATAAATTATTATTTTTATATTTATAATATAATATTTATTTTTATTTGTATTTGTATTAGAATAAAAAAATTAATTTTTTTATTAAATATAAATAAAATTAACATCGCTAAACAGAATCTGTTGTGGACACGGAAGGGCAGATGAGTCATACTCTAAAGGACTGTATACACGCTGAAAATATTTGGAGGCGAATGCATATAAATTTCGAACAGGGTGGGCATATGACAGATGCAAACAGCTGGATCAAACAGGTATGCCGTTCTTTTAATGATATGCAGCTTCAAATTTAGACACGTCGCCCATTGGTATGATTATCAAGGCAGCTAAACTGAAGCTGTCTCTGTTCCAATCATGTTTGATGTGATGTCACACACAATGCGTTCTGTGAACATGGTGACACGTAAGCTAACTGAGCTTGGTTACCAACTTGAATAAATGAAATCTTTATTTTATTTCAAAAACAAATGTATTTGCATTAAATAATTGAGTTTATGAGATAAAATGAAACAACAAAAAATAGTTTCTTCCAAGATAATTGTACATGTATGAATGTAAGTTGTACGGATGAATTAATTTCACGATCCTTTTAAAGTGAATATCTTTAGATTCTTAAAATGTAATTTTGATAATCGTAATGAAATACTTCTTTCGTCAATCAAACTGAGTCTTAAATGAAAATTACAAAGTAGGATAAGATATTGATAATATTATAAGTTTAAGATTAAGTGATAAAATATTATAATACAAATAAAAGTTTGATAAATTTTTTTAATTTATTTTTATGGATATTAATTCTTATGTATCTTTATTGTTATTTTTTTGTGTTAATTTTTTAATCAATTAATTTATTTTAAAAGAAAAGATTTGTTAAGTTGCAATTAGAGTTGTTCAAAAATTGAGTTATCAATCAAATTCATAAATTAAGCTCGATTCAAATTCAATTTTGAATTTTTTAAAACTTAGACTAGATCCAATCAAATTACTATTTTATCAATAAAATATTTTATTTAATTTTTTTAAAATATATTAAAAAATAATAATATATTAATATAAAAATATTTTTTAATTTTTAATAGTAAAATGGCCTCTTCGGGTTTTAAATGAATGAATGAAACTGAACCTTAAGTGAGATTTTGAAAGTATCATCCAAGTTTTGTTTGATTCATGAAAATCTCTAATCGTAATTCAAATAATTAAATTTGTAATTTTCTATTATTAAGTAAAAATGTGAAACTTATAATATTTCATTGAAAATTGTAACTAATATTTTACAACTAAAAATTTTTTATTTTTGAATAAATATTTTGTGATAATGAAATATTGTAAAAATAAATAAAATACCTGATGAAATATTTTATGATGATATATAGCCTAATTGTATACTTTAAACAAACAATAAATAAATTTGAAGAAAAATGAGTAATTTTCATTTTCAAAAATAGACTTCTTTTTTTTATTTTAAATTGAATCTAAAAATATTTATTAACAAAATTAAAGGAAAAAATAATTTAGTTTTTATATAATTATCAAAATCATTAGTATTGAGTAAAAAAATTTCATCACTACTCTTTTTGGTAATTTTATCTTTGACTTGATTATGAGTTGGGGACTGACATTTACTTTTTAAAATTGCATTTAAGGCTGCAATAGCGGTTTTATTACTGAAAGGACCGTTTTATTATAATATATTATTTTTTAAAATTTAGATATTAAAACGATATTATCTCAGAATTTAGAGATCATGGAAGTAATTTATCTAAGTTGTATATACATAGATTTGCTGTGATTTTGAATTTTTTTTATTTATTATCGATTGATTTTAAATTGAATGATTAATAATTTACATCATTAGTATAAGGCAAAATCATTTTTAATGTGATTTAAGGACACTTCAAAAATTTTGAATATTTCTTAAACGATTTTTTTGTTGATAAAATTAATAAATTATCAATAAAGAGTTTGAACATTTCAAATAAAACATATTAAAAATGACTTTATCTTATAATAATTGTGCAAATTATTAATCATTCAACTTAAAATTAATTTATAATAAAAAAAAATTAAAACCACAACAAATTTATGTATATGCAACTTGGGTATATTAATAAATTAAAAAAAATTAAATTTATTAATAAAAAATTTCTTTCTCTCAATAATATTTTTTAAAATATTTTTTATCGATAAAATTAATAAATTTATTAATAACTTTTTTATATATATAATAAATAGACACTTCAAAAAATTTCGGGATCAGCAAATGATAAGCACATGTACAATTTTAAATAACTATATAGTTAGCAAGTTTATCAAATATTTATAAACTTTCAAATGGAAACACTAATCATTGAAACCACCGAAACAGTCGCCATAAATTTCAACAGTTTACTGTGAAGATTCTGAATTATGTTGGCAATTGTCAGCCGGTTGGGGGCAGGCATGGGAAAATCATTGCGGAAAGGAAGCAATGGAACTGTTGACGGTGCTGACGCCACTGGGGAGGCTGATGCTACAGAATCTTTGTTGTTAGAGCAAGTAGGTAGAGATAATATGTTACTTCCTGGCGACTTTACTTTGCTCAAGACCCCATCAACGCCATGACACCGGATGGAAGATCCTGCGGTGCATATGTTTGGGCTGATGATTCTCACATTGTTGAGGAAGGGACTTCTCCTGCCACCACCACTTGAAATATTGAGCACGTACTCAGGCATTGAACTGGGAAGAATCGAACCTATTGGAATATATTGAAGATGCTCAAAAAACAAAGGAGAAGGGATTGAATGGCTATGCAAGAAGCTAGAAACTGCATTTTGTGGAATTATGGTTTTTGACAACATCCGATCATTAGGCATCAAGAAAGTGACCTTTCCAAGAAATTTTCGATCAAAGGGAGACTTGTTGATCAGCATGACAAAGGTGAAGTAGTTAGCCTTCTGCATTTCTTCAATGGCGACGCGGAGGTCTTGATCCTTTGGAGGAATGTTTGTAGAAGTTGTTGATTGGAAGAATAACATGAGAAGAAGAACCAAGGTGATTATGTAAGTTGCCATCAGCTTGGTTATTATGTGGCGATCAGCTGATGAAATTTTTTTTTTGGGATTTTCTAGAGATGTTATAAATGGAGGATGGTTAATTCGAGGAATCGAGGTTAGCTGGGACATGCTCATGTGCTACCTCAACCACTGACCTCACTCTTCCTGCGTGTTGATCTAGGAGTTTTCTAAGGCCAGGGTTAGGATTACATTGTAATTTGTATGTAAGAAGTCTTTGTTGTTCAAAAAGAACCTGCCATTTTTAATCATTAATTTTAATTTTTTTTTACAAAAGAAGCCACAATTTAAAAGTAAAAAACAAAAAAAAAAAAGTAGTAGATGTTCGAATTTAAACGCTAGACTAGATAAATATCACCTCGATAACTGCATAATCCAATTGAGAATTAATTCTCTATTGCATGTTCCGAAGATTTCATAAGCTCGACCCTATTAAAGGATAAATTTATTATGTAAGTTGATTGAAGTAGGTAGTTGATTTATTTTCATCTAGTATCCTGGAAAACATTGCAGTGGTGTACAAATTTGAGCCATTAAACTTAGAAACCATGAAACAATCGGGTACCTGTGAATGGAAAATATGGAACACGGTAGCAAAATTACGAATGGAAGGCAGCTAATTGCACGTATCTACCAAACTAATAGTGACAGGATAGGTACATAGTTCTGTCAGAATTAGAACTTAATAGACAATGGGGATCAAAGTAATGCACATATAAATTCAGGTAAGAAAAAATGAGAAAAAAATCTGTTTGTCATCTCTAGGTTTACACAAAGGTCTGGAAACCTGTAGTTTGGAAAATGAATAAATATCATTACGATACTATGCTTTTTTTTCGGATGAACAGCAGTTGTTCTTGGTTTTGATCGTCATTCAATCAAAGCTACAAAAAGAATGCATCTAAGCAGAAAGATGGTCATCCATTACAAAAAAAATACGAGGTACTACGGAGTAATCCATGTAAAACATCACAGTAAGGAAAAAACAGTAGGGAAACCAGAGTTCATTCGCTGGATCCCATCCAACCTCACTAAAATTGCTGCAAGTTAGTGCTCAAGTATATTCCAATGGGCACATAGAACATTCCTAGTTTTTTCACCAGCATAAGCAGCTTGTACGGAAAAAGAATAAATAAAGGAATATATAATTGAACTGATTCACCTTAACATAAAGAATGTCCTATCAAGGGAACTGGAATGAGCCTCCAATTTGGTTAGTACCAGATGGGGGATTGATTGCCACCCAAAGGAGCGATATGGTGATGGCAATAAGACCTGACCACACAAAAACAATGGTAGGTGTGCTCCCTCTTCTTCCCATAAGCCCTTTAGCAAAAGGATAGAGATGAGCCAAAACCCAGAAACTGAAGAAAACTCCACCTAGCAGACGGCTCCACTGTGGAATAACACTGTAAATTGTTCGGCTAAACCCTACTGCTATTGCTATTAAGTTGACCATCATGATCGTGATTGGTGGTATCATCAAGGACGTCCATTTAACAATGTAGAGATCAGCAAACTCATCATCCACATCATCTCCTGCTGATTTTGATGTCAAGGTGAAAGAAATCTCAATCCCAGCAATCACTTTCAACAGCCCCTGAAGCACAGCAGCTAGATGTGCACTTGTACCCCCAATCAACCAAAACTGCTCATTTCTCCACCATTCTTCTAACTCAATGCCAGACCACTTAATTTCAAGCACAGCTAGCAAACAAAGAGTCACTGTAATGATGAGGAGGTAAGTAAGGAAAGTGACATTGAGGGTCTGGACAATGAACTGGCCAGAGAACAGCGAAAGTGCAGGGAGGAAACAGTAGACAATCAGGGAAAATTGGAGGTGAAGGATAGATTCCAACATTAAGATATGCAATCCTCTGCAGCAACTTCATTCTTGGACTGGCAAGGAGGGCATTGTTACGGGAAAAGAAAATCTCAACAGAACCAGTAGCCCAACGCAGGACTTGGTGAAGCCTATCGGTGAGATTGATCGGAGCAGTTCCACGGAAAGCATCACGCTTGGTCACACAATAAACTGATTTCCATCCTCTGTTGTGCATTCTATAGCCAGTGACCACATCTTCAGTAACAGACCCATAAATCCACCCAACACGGTGTCCCCACTCGGTCTTGTCCTCATACCAGCATGAAATGACACTGATTGCCTCCGCAACAGTTGAGGCATCAAGAAGTTCACGAGGAATGGTGAGGGCACCAGGAGGGCGCCCATTCTTCACCGCCGGATGATCTGCAAGGGGACGACCTTGAAACTCTGCCACTGGAATTGAATCAATGAGAAATGTTGAGTTCCCAAACCTCTTAGGAAGCAGCGAGAGGTTCATCTCCTCATCATCAGAATCGCCCATTCTCAGAGCACGATTTTCCTCTGGGGTGTGTGCCATTGAGGAATGTTTATTCTTACGACCAAAAAAGCAGCAACTGCAGCAACCAGGATGGTGTTCTTTCGATCGAGGTGGGTCAAAGCCATAAAGGGCAATTCTTCGAAAGAGGCATCCAGTTCCAACATAGACAGGGCCCATAAGACCATCAAGGGCTCGCATGTTCACATCAAAGAAAACAGTATTATGATTGGCATATCGATCAGACGGGTCAATCCCCTCAAACCTCTGAGGGAACTGGACATAACAAATGCGGTCACCTCCTCGATCCATCATGAAGCACATGCCTTCCCTCATTGCCTGAGAGTTGTAGATATAGTGATCGCAGTCAAGGTTCAGGATAAATGGGCCATTTGACATAATTGCAGATGCCCGAACCAGGGCATTCATGGCACCTGCCTTCTTATTGTGATCATAGCCTGGGCGCTTCTCACGAGAAACATAAACAAGCAGTGGGAGACGAATATCAACATCAGTGAGATCAATGAGCCTATCATCAGCAGTTCCATGCAATGGTTCATCGCTGGGAGGTTTCAACATCACCTATGCAATCAAAATTTAAGAAATTAAAACAAGAAATGTCAGCTTCAAATTATCAGCTTATCTTGACCTTACTTTTCCATCAATGGAAAACCTCTTAAAACTCATTATTACCAATCCAGAACAATAAAGGATGAAAATATGTTCATACAATCTACTAGTTGAAAATGTGATTATTAGTATATTCTGAAAATATATACCTGTATTATACCAGCATGGTCACCCCGAGAGTGCTCAGTTGTTGGATTCAACCAAGTCCCTGGCCAATGAGTACCATCAGCCATCCACGTCGCTTTTGGTATCTTCACAATCTCTACAGGCTCATCTTCCCTGTTCTGTCTCTGAAGCTTCATTGCCTTGATTTCTTCCCTTGCGTGATAGGCATCAGACCTACGGCGGATGGAGTCTGGCAAACTATTGATGCGAACCTTGAATTCATCATACTCACGTTTAACTCGTCGGCGGTCCTTGACAAAATCTGGTTTGACTTTATTCTTGTAAGGATCCCTCTTCAGACTGAAGTAAGATTCAGGATTCCTGGGTTCGATATCATGTTTACGGCAAAATGGAACCCATATATTAGCAAAACTTGCTGCTTCAGCCATGGCCTCAAACGTTAAAAGTGCTCCTCCATCATCAGAAACATAACAAGCAAGTTTTTCAACAGGGTAATCTGCAGCTAGAATTGACAAGATAGTGTTTGCGGTGACAAGAGGTGGTTCTTTCTCTGGATCTGCAGTAGAGACAAAGACATCAATGCCTGGAAGGTCAGATTTTCCAGTAGGGTTGCTAAGGCTCGGTGTTTCAAATTTGTCCTTCAACACATTAAGGTCTGTAGCTCGATTGATAGGGCAGAGCTTGGGCAGTTGGTCAAGAAGCCATGAGAAAGCAAACCAAATTTCACAAACCACAGACATTCCCCATAACCAAATTGCATCATTATTTGGATGGTTGACCCTCCAAGCCAAAAACAACGCAAGAACAACAACTCGCAAAAAAATTAGAAGCCTGCAAGCATACGTGAAACGGAAAGCAAAGTTAAGGTAATGATGAAACTCATAATGTTACCAACAACAAAGACATGAAAAGCTCTAAAGTAGAAATGGAAATGGTCCATTTCTTATCAAACAAAACTTAGACGAGCTGTTGCAACAGCCAACCAAGCAGGTAAAACTTCCAATGGGAGGCTGTTATAGTGTCTAAAAAATCTACCAGTGACCTGGGCTCTATTCTGATTTTTTTAAGGACTAACACACGATTACACATACCTTGTACATGAATAAATATTACTAATAAATTTTTTAAGTTTCAATTTTGAAGCATATATAAGTGATTTTTTTTGCTTTTTAAATTTATAAGCAATTTAATAATAAGAAAATTTAGAAAATAATATAAAAGTTAAACCTCATAAACCAGCAGACCCAATCATATGCAGATTTAATTTAAAAAGAAAAAAAAAAGGAAAAAGAAAGGGTAAAGGGTAAAGGGCAAAGGGCAAAGGGTAAATGAAACAAAAAGAAGAGACAGGATTAACATATTTGTCACCTTCCTAGTTTTATTAGTAAGTTTGTGCAATTATGTAAAGCTACCGTGCATATGCATGTCATTTTGCAGGTAATTCTCATTACCGCCTAGCTTGGACAGAAATGTAGCAAAATAAAAGCTCAGATTTTTCAAAGGAGTCAATGTAAAATCTAAAAACATAGAGGAGATATATAACATGTGGAGGGATCTAGAAATGGAGAATATACCGGTATGGGCTGAGAACAGCTGCTGGTATTTTTAACTTCCGAGTAAGTGGCCTCCATGGTTTGCTCACCAACTCTGTTGGCTCAACAGCTTCATCATCTTTTCCATTTCCTAGATTACCATCCTTTGGCCATATGGCATTCCCATAACCATAAGTGCCTCTAGTCTCAAACAGCCAACGATTGTGATCAAAATCTCCCGTTTGACTCCTCATCAGCACTGATTTCGTCGACTTCATTAAAGACAACCTCCTCTCCATTTTGGACATTGAACCAGGTGGAGGAAGTGGAAGTGGCCTGGAATTAATATCCACAGCTGTTTCATCCAGATCTGTGTTCTTGTATGGCTCCTTACATCCAGGGCATATTCCACCCCCAGATTTCACAGCATCAATGTAACAATCCCGACAAATTTTGAAATCACACTCACAAGGGAGAATATCCGAACCACGCTCATCACTCATCACCTTTGCATCACACCCATGAATTGCACATGAAGATCCTTTTGCACCAGCCATCTGGGGATGGTTTGCCTCAGAATCAATCACTTTGTCCATAAGATGAGCTCGTGTAACACTATTGAATCCACCAGTAAACAGTGAATTCGACACGTATTGCTCTTCAACCTTCTGAGAAATAGAAGGGTCCATGGGTTGGTTGTCAGGGGTGGGTGGTATATGCACTGTATAGTTCATGAACTCACCACTACCAAGCTCACTATCGAGATCATCCCTTGAATAGCTCACATAACGACCTGAGGAAGTTCTCCGCCCAAATGTCACAGTTGGAGGTATTGGAGGCTTATGTGACTCTGCTGCATCAGAGGAAACCGATAGAGACGATCGGCTTCCTTTAAAAGACTTGGATGCCATGTTTTAGCACCACCAGAGAATTATCTTAGATCTCGAGATCCTGAATTT